GAGCAAACGAATGTGTATGCATATGTTGTATATATTAATATTATTCGTTAGATATCTTGTACGAATCCGTGATTTGTGTATTTACAAATAAAAACTGCTTGCACCACGATAAACATATAGATACATATTCACATAACCATTTCACTGTACGTACACGACGGTAGTAGAAGAAAAGAAAAAACTTGTGCGATCGGCGTATATATAATATATATTAGTCTCGAGACCATATACCTAAATAAGCTGCTAATTTGGTATTTGTCGGATTCGCTTACGTACACATACACAACCATAATTACATTTAATAATTTTTTTCTTTTTTCTTTATTAGTTTGTAAAGCAATATCAAGTATCTTTGTGTGGCATAACATAGCGGCCGGATATTCCAGACGACTGATTAATATTCGATTACACATTGTTAAAGTTCTTCGATCCTCTCCTTTCTTTTTTTCTTTTTTTCTCTCTATACATCTGTACTAATATTCCTATGAAGGGTTATACTTAAGAAGAGAAAAAGTGTTTGTCTCCTCATTTTTCGAAGTAGGTTTGAAAAAATTTATCGTTTTTTAAACGGTATATATTTCTGTTTTCTTCTTCTTTAAAAAGCATCCAAGAGAGAGAGAGAGAGAGAAAGAGAGAGAAAAAAAGAACGAAAGAGAAACAGAAAGAGAGAAAAAAAGAACGAAAGAGAAACAGAAAGAGAGAAAGAGAAAACGAAAGAGAAAGAGAGAGAAAGAACCACGACTAAATGAAACGAACTTATACACTTCTTTTCTTACTCGCATTTAATTACTTTATATGGAGATCAGTCATCCTCTTATCTAAAAAAAACAGGGAGATTTCTTTTCAACGTCTATAAACAATGAATCAAGTAATTCTCTTGTGACGATACTACTAACGTACAATAGATATACATAAAATACAGATTCTTTTGAATTTATTTGTTATTTGAATTGATTATATATATATATATATATATATATATATATATATATATATATATATATATCTATATATATATATCTCGAGGAAGTTTATGGAATATATATAGTCGCAAATCAAGCTCTTCTCTCTTTTCCTCTTTGATAACGAACTCACATATTCTTTTGCACGTTTTTATCACTATGTACCTTAACGAATATAATAAAAATAATACTTCACAGAAATATAAATAAAAGTACGGATTATGGCTTGTTTCTTAATGTAATTAGTATGATAGGTACTCATAAATATGTGTGAGCGCACCCATCAATATCGATACACAAAAATACATTTAATGCGGATATATGTATATATGTATGTAAACACATATACATATATAGAGTATCCTTTTTAACGCTCTAACATTTTTTCATTTACCGACAAATTTCCTTTACTTTCCTTTCCTTCTTTTTTTAAATCTTTCTCTTCTGTATTCTATTAGTCTTGAGTCTAAAGAGAGGCTTGGAACGGTCATTCAGAGGCGAGTGAAAGTATTATGGAAAACGAAGGAATTTAAAAACGAAATAAAACTACTTAAAGTACTCGCGAGAATACGAATATTAGTCTTCATATTTAGATCCCTATTGTACACGACTGTCTGAGACGTTTATTCTTTTGTTGTTTACATTTTATTGCGTAATAAAAAAGGACTAGGACGAATTGATTAAAAACAATACTTGATACGGCATAGTGAAGGCTTTTAGGCTTTTACATTAAAAAGAAGAATATTTTATGAATATTCTAAAAGATTAAAAATGAATTATAATTATATAAGAAAAACTATTTGTATAAATATTGGACATATTACTCTTTTCTATTCTTTTGTAAAGATGTGATATTTTTGAAAACTCATTGATATAAAAAATTATAGTCAATAAAGTAAAATATAAAATACAGAATGTCGCATTGTGCCCAATCCAGAAAGAAACGGAGAAACGTAAGAAGAAGAAGAAGAAGAAGAAGAAGAAGAAGAAGAAGAAGAAGAAGAAGAAGAAGAAGAAGAGCAGCTAGAGAACTGTGCCAATTCGCGTTTTTAGTGTTAGCCGCCTGTCTTTAATCGTAAGAAATATCAACATTTTCGAACGTGTCAAATCACTGATTTACGTATAATGTTCTCTCATATCGTGCACGATCTTTGTAACAGCCCAGAAACCCGTTTGTCGTCTCGTTATGTAATATTTAAAGAAAAAATACATAGCCGGAATCACTGAGAAAAGTAGGATAATTTTTTTCATATACAGGGTGTCCCAAATGTCAAAAAGAAGAGCACAAATTTCGTCACATTTCATAAGAGAGGATACTTGGCTCGAACTCTCGTACTCTTTCAAAGTTAGTAGGAGGAAAAGATAAACGCATAAACAAAAGAGAAATTATCTTTAAAAAGCTACGCCGGGCGATAACGAACATATTCTCTCCTGACAATTTAATTTAGAACGAAACTTATTCTTCTCATAATTAAATTTACGTATGTTATTATCTATCAACGTATTCTCATTCTAAGTTCAAAGAGAGAACGTAATATTAGTATAACAAGAAACTTAAACGTGGTGCACTTGCTCCATTAATTTGGATACACGCGTAATAGCTATATTAGTATCGTTATGTATCTAGGTACACATTATAAAATTATCTTTTGACGGAAACCAGTAGAAAATGACATATAACGAGGAATCCTTGTCGTAGGAAATATAGATAAAAAAGATAAATTCATGGACGGTCACCCTGTACATATTCGATACATAGTTTATAGATATAATTAAAACGCTCTTCGAAATACTGTAAAATTTCATAAAATACTCTTCTCGTAAAAAGGTGCAGATGAGACTCCTATGGGGTCGGACTGATGCGATTAAAAGTTGAGATTCAGAAGTAGAAAATCAATTACCAGAAATATGGGGAGATTCTGATAAAATCGTAAGATACGACACAATGACAAATAAACAAAGAAAAAGAAAAAGAAAAAGAAAAAGAAAAAAAAAGAAAAAGAAACAGAGATTCGAAACCGAGGGAAGATTTCGGCGGTCCTAGGGATTCGATTGTTTTTTCTTTCTAAGAAAGATATGAAAGAATATATACCTTAAAACGAGGGAGGGAGAGAAAGAGGAAAAGAGAGGAAGAAATGGCCAAAGTCCTAAAGAATATTCTTACCAGTTAAATTGAGCCGCAACGTTTAGATAAAGAGTGTATTGAAAGAAGAACATACGTTTTCCAGAGGACGACGCATGCAATTTGTGATAAATATTAATAATCTAGGGGATATATATCACGGTCCTCGCTTATCTTCCCTTTGCTCTTATCAACGAATTGATATGTAATAAAAATAATATTAACAAGATAATAATTAGAATTGCACAAGTTATCAGCGGCCGGTGTAAAGACGACCGCTCAGCCATTCAGACTCTCCACGAATCTAAAAAAGAAGAAAAAAGAGAAAAAAACAGAAAAAAAGGAAAAAAATTAGCCAAGTATATCAAAGTACGTGTCAAAATATATCTATATTGCAAAAGATAGCAAGATCGGAGTTGGAGAGCAGGACGTGATACACGCGTTGTGTCAGGGCTCGTACAACGATCTCACAGAGAGAGAAAAATTCTTTCCTCCGTACTCTTCGTCAACATAGATCCGTTATTTTTTCCCATGAATCGTGAAAATTCCATTTGGGGAAAACTAACGAAGCATAAGTTCCATAGCGGAGAAAAAAGTATTTCTTACTCGATGAGAGGGCTTACTCCTTTTTCTCTTGACGTTGTGTGTATACTTTTTCGCGTGCGACGAGGTCGTTCCGTTCGCGTTCTATCGATACGATTTGCCATATTTTGCGGCACGAGAATATATTCTTAGCGATACGAGACGTAATGGCAATACAGCTTCTCTCGTATGGCTTGAAACGGCTCGTGGTGGTGGAACAACAGGAGCATAATAGTAAGACGAATGCTCGACAGGACAATACGTCGGCGGGAATGAAGTCACAAGAGCTCGTACTGGCGTAAGTGCATTCGCTGAATGATGTCCCGACAATCGTTGAACACTCTCTTGATATTTTCTGTGTCAACGGCGCAGGTGAAGTGTGGGTAGCAATAGTGTTTACCATCTCCGCTGGCTGTGCTTATACGCTGCAAATAGTAACGTTTTAGTGTTAGTCACGATCGTTGAATTAACATTAACGTGACCGGCTGTGATTCTACTCACAAAACGTTTCGCTATTATGAGATAAAGAACGACAATAAATAATAATAATAATAATTAAGTTATATAATAAAATGTATAGATATATATTTTTATGGCGCGGGGAAGAATAAAGGAGACCTAAGAACCGAACAGTACATTCCTTTCATACTAACGAGAAATTCATCTCTGATAAAGTACTTGGCCCTTAAGACGTCAGGAGGTTCCGAGGGATCTGTGACTACACCAGGTTCGACTGGCGTTTGATAACGAGAGAACTCAGGAAAATAATCCTCCAATTTATGCTTTCCTGCCTTTATCTTCTCCGCCAAGAGATCTTGCTTATTTAGAAATAAAATCACGGAAATTGTGCGGAGCCACCTAAAAAATCAAATAGAAAGATATAAGATCGAAAGAATTTTATTCCAGATACCGAACATAACAGGTTGGCCGATCAATTTTTCCTTTATAATACATATCGTGTACGTTACCGATTGTTCCAAATACTTTTGAAGAGATCGAGACTTTCCCGGAGTCTCAATTTCGTCGGATCTTCCCTGAGTACCATATTATAACTACTACATGCTGTTACAAATATGATCGCCGTTACGTCATTGAAACATTGTATCCATTTTCTCCTTTCGTCCCGTTGTCCGCCAACATCAAACATGCTGCAATAATGAAATCATTAATAAGTCACCTTATTTCAACGTCAATTCTTATTTTAACGACCATCATTCCTTTTTATTTTTTATTTTAATCAATACAACGATATTTTCGACTTATCTAATGACGATCTTAAATCTTGAGAAAAAAGAAATCGATTCGTTTCTATTGTTTTTCTTTTGTCACTTTTCACGCGATATACATATCTAATAGCAAGTGCGCGCGCGATCATGAGGGGGCAAAACCGAGAGAAAGGGACTGAAAATCTGGAGCGTCGTAGATACAATCTGACACCGGCGAGTGAACGCAAAAAGGGAAAATATTATAGAGTTTTGAAGGCATTAGCGCGTGTAACGGATTTCGCTGTACGTTTAGCGTAACGTCGACATTGTATAAACGGCGCCGTCACTATGACGATGCCGATGCTACTTTGCGTTATATTTACCGTCAGCCGATGTTACTGTAATACTCGGCTATATATAGTTAACACTGGAGTAATGCGAGAAGGTATTGCATATAACTTACTGAAAGTTTACTTTGTCCACCTGAAACCGGGTTTCGAAGATACCGGACGTAAGGACTCGACACCTCAGGATATCCTAAAACAAGAAGAGAAAGAAAATTAGCTGGTATATTTTGTTAGATAAAAATTATTTCTCATATTACGTTTGATTTTAAATTATTTGAAAAAAAAAAGAAATAAATGAATATATATATATATAGTGTATATATTACCTGCTCCGTTGGCGTGTAGTCCGGTTGTTTTACAATAGCTACTTTGTCTAGAAAACTGAAATAAAAAAGAGAAAATATTTTAACATTTAGCGTTGTTCACGAAGTTAAGATTTATCAGAACTCAATATTAATCTGTTTGTATGTTTTAACATATCAACAAATTCTTTGTCATCGTGAAGGCATATCGTGATACGCTCGACCAAAATCAAGTTGAAGTGTTATTGATCCATACTGCTTTTCCGTGATGACAATCATCGGTAATCAACCACATCGTTATCCTGAGAGGCCACTTCATACGTATATATGTGGTCAAATCACAATGCGGATCTCTATATTCTACCTAGTGAAAGTTGGTCAAACTCTGTACAAACATCATAAATACGGAAGTCTTTTATTTCCGATTTTATCGGAAAAATAAACAGAAATGAACCAATCAAAAACACAAAATCATAAATATATCTAAACCCTTCTAATTTAATCAGACATGCGTCAAATATGTGGAATAATTCGGGACTAATGACCACCCGTTAAGCAATGCCACATATTTACTTCATTTGTCTTACTGCATTCGACATCGTTGATTTAAGAAGCGAAAATGAAAAATTGAGGATCGATTCTGCTGCTATATTCAACTATATTTAAACAACGATTTGAAGACAAAAAAGAAAGAAAAAAAACAAAAAACACGTATGGCAAAAAAGGAATAGTAAAAAATGAAAGGTAGTCGTTCATTGGAAAAAGGTGGAATTTAGGAGTTTGAAGAAAAAGGAAGAGAGAACGCTCGCGCGCACAAACAATACACATGTGCGCGCGCGCGTACGCTAAATCTTTGTCTCTTTTTCCAACCTCTCACTCTTCCTCTCTCTCATATCTTCCGTACCGAGGGCAGAGGAAGCGCACGAAGAGGGAAAATCGATCCTCAGTGGTGTCCTACCCTAACCCCAACCCTTACCGTCGGCCTCGTCGAGCGTGCACATACGCCTCTTTGGTATCCACTTTTCAATCCAGGTCATGGGTCACTGCCATCGCTTCTCGTCATCAATCGTACATACAAACTTAGCTTCACTCTCTCCTTCCCACACACACAAACATTAACACGAAACATTTCGTCCCTGATGCTGCCTTTATAAGGATTTCTATCATTGTATGTATATATGTGCGAAAGAAAATATGGTAGAGAATTTTTCGGAGATAATATGATGTTCTACTGCTTCTGCTATTACTATCACGAAGGAATAATTTGCCAGAAATATTTCTTCTTTCGTGAAGTATCTTATGAATAATATTTTATCATAGATCAATTCCATTTGAAATAATTACAAAAGCCAATTTAATGCGATCTTAATAGTCGGTCGTTATGATGGAAGATATAAAGATGAATTGTTTTGAACAAATTATTTTTTTAATTTCCCTTCTCTCGCGCTTTCTCTCTCTCTCTCTCTCTCTCTCTCCCTCTTTCTCTCTCTCTCTCTCTCTCTCTCTCTCTCTCTCTCTCTGTCTCTCTCTCTCTCTCTCTACATCTACATCTACAATGCCATTTTCCTCTCTTTCAAACACTATACCATGAGACAAAGAGTAAGAGAGCTCTGTGATCCTCTTTATCGAAGAGGTTTCATTCTAAACGCTTTTCGGTGTCTTTTGAAGCTTTGATGTTATTTGTACCGATCGAATAACTTTGAACACCGTATACACTCGACACTGTGTATATACCTATGTGCAAGCTTCATACAGATTCACGAAACAGGTATCTTTACCACACCATATACCACAGACTTCTCTAATCGGTCCATGAATACTTTACGGAGAGACACGAGCGGTGAATCTTTCGTATACGATAACTTCATAAAGATAGCATAAGTTGAAGCATTCTTTTATTGATATCAAAAATTTATAACATTGGATATTGATAACAGAAAATCATTTTATACAAATTGTAGAATTTCAATTCTGGAATAGATTTGAAATTGAAAACAATTTCAAGGGATTCGTCCACTTCATTTATTATACAAAGTGTTATACAAGTGTTCTAATTAAAAAGCTCTACGCACTGTGCATTCTTTCTTCAAAAAAATTTCTATTATTTGTGATAATCCTTGCAATTCTAGTCGTCGTTCGTTAGACTTTAAAGGTCAATACGAAGAAAATAAGAACAAATATTCAGAAGAGGATAATTAAATGCGCGTAGAAGATTTTTTCAACTGTTTCTACTTGGAAAAGGTACAAGTATACGTAAGAAGTCTATTATGAAACATAGATCATGGTATTGACGCGTTTCGAAAGAAATAAGATCGTTAATCTTTTTTTAAGGTCGTTGATCGGTTTTTCGTATATAGTGCATGTTCCAAAGTGCCTATTTAGTAGCAGCTTCTCTTTACTTACGAGGAATAAAGATAGGTAGAGAGAAAAGAGCAATAAACGTGGTTGCTATCATCGATTCGTATCCAGGTCGTAAAACCGAGCACGAGCTTGACATAAATGCGACCATCTTCGCATATATGTCACAGACTCTCTTTAGAGTCCTATCTTCTTGTTTCTTTACAAAGCAAGTGGTTTTGATTGAGATTCTTAATATTGAAAAGATTAAGAATGATTATTAAAATGTAAGCTCCAAATAAAAGATTCCGATAATGACTATTCTTTTGGGAGAAAAAATAAATTATTTTAAGATAATATTTATTATCTTATAAGATAATTTTATTATGTTACATGCAATCGTTGGCCGTGCAAATTATAGCATCTAGGTATATATAGATGATATATATATATGAGAGAGAGAGCAAGAGAAAGAGAGAGAGCATATTGCATGCAGTGATGACACAATTAATGTGCTTTTTTCTTTTCTGTCCTTATTTTAACGTCATAAAATACATCATTTGTTCAACAATCAATAATAATCAGATTCGATAGATATCTTAAAATAGTGGTTATTATTTGTTTTATTGTTGGTCTTATATGTTCGTTACAATAATTGCAAGAAAGAACGAGAAGAATCTTTGGTCAACAAAATGAACTGATTTCACAAATTGGAGAATGAGGAAGATATCATTGCGCGGGTGTAATTATGGCCAATAAATATGATCGGAAGTCTGAAAGCATGCGCTCTTCCTTCATCGAGCAACATTCCTTCGAAATATTTGAAGCAGCGCTTCCTAAAAATACGATTCGCTATTTATAACGAGGCGTTCCTCGCGATATGAGGATAGAAATTGAAAAAGAAGACCACTAACAGTCACATGACTTTTTACTTTCAGATTTGTAAAATTCTTTACTGTATTTATACGCAGAGAAGACAGCGTACAACTTTGTTTCGATATGTCAAAAAGAATGATGTATAAGTCGAGACAGAATTACAGCTACCGTTATGTAAAGGTAATAATTTCAAAGAAAATGATACGTTTCCATATATACATACATATGCCTACACTTAGACGTTATATTCACTTCTCTCAATGTACGGATATCTCGAATACGATTCCAAAGACTTATAGGTAATATTATTGACATAAATTATGAACGGATCTCATGGAATTTTAGCCAAATATAGTTTGCATTCTCTAACTATGTACATCGTGTTTAATGTTTGGTTAGGCGTAAAATGAAATCACATGCGCCGATTTGCTATCAAGTCTTCATTTACATAGGAGAGCCGTATCAGTCTTCATTTACATAGGAGATTTGTGCTTTTTCCCTCGTTGTGCGTGTACAGTAGATACATGGTGCAACAACCTATCTATCTCAAAAGAACGATTCCTTAGCGATATTTAAACTCCTATTTTATCGCTTAACGAATTTTACTTACTTATTTATACTAGAATAAAACTAATATGCGACATAACTACCCTCAACATAAGCGACAAATTACCTTCGAAAAAATTCGATGTTGATTGTGAGCAGATTTGCTGAGAACCTTAGATAAGCCAGTGGCCCCTATTAAAGTGATTGTCTCGTTAAAACATTGTCTCCATTGACATTAGATCGATGTTACAAACCTATGTATATACACGTCCTACGTATTGTACGCGGTATAATATTCTTTAAATATCCTACATCCTTCCGAAAAGAATTTAAATCCAACAGGAAGAAAACAAAGAAGCGTTAAATAAAATATAGTGCTTCGAATTAAAATATATTGATTCTATAAACTGTTACATAATGATTTACATTAAAACATTTAATGTCTCTCTTTTGTAATTATTGTTTCTCGTGCGTAATATATCGCAAGCAAATATATTATTTTCTTTATAATAATGGACCGAGCGAAACGATAAGAGTTATGAATTAACTTTACTATTGAAACACCGTAAACACTTTGAGAATCATAAAAATTCAATACTTTTTAAAGAATAGTCTATATATGTGTGTGTGTGTGTATAATGGGAGTAATAATGATATGAAAATTTGCTGGTTCATCTATCTAAGCTTCTCCGCATGTGTTGCGTAAGTTATTTGTTTTGTCAAATCTCTCATGTCGTGTTTTCGAAGGACACAAAACTTGGACGTTCACTTCCGTCGGTTCTATTTTAGCGATACCTTTTCACTATCCATTCGACACATCATTGAGAATAATCTATCGAAGGATTTGTCTTCGAATTTTCCCGGAAAAAGAAGAGAGAGAGAGAAAAAGAGGGGATGAAGAAGAGTGGGATAAGAGGGGGAAGAGTGGGATAAAAGGGGGATGAGAGAGAAAGGGGGGATGAGAAAAAGCAGGAAAAGAGGGGGAGAGTGAGTGAGCGAGAAGGGGAGAGAGAGAGAGATATCTTACACAGTACTTCTATTATCAAATCGTGAACGTTATCGTTCGAGTTTCTTATCATAATCGTGATATCACCGTATAGGGTAGATTACAAAAATTGTACCCTAAGTAAAGGACGATTCCAATATGATGAAGATAAGAAATAATTTACCCTTTCTCATCTTTCACTGATTTTTCATGTAAAAAAAAAGATAGAAGAGTGAAAGAAAAAGAGGAGAAAAAGAAAGAGAGAGAAAGAGAGAGAGAAAGAGAGAGAGAAAGAGAGAGAGAGAGAGAGAGAGAGAGAGAGAGAGAGACAGAGACAGAGAGAGAGAGAGAGAGAGAGAGAGAGAGACAGAGAGAGAGGAAAAAGAGGAAGCACGTTAGTATCCGTATTTTCCTCGGAACATTTCTCGTCGACGAACAAACAATCGTATTAAACGTGACTCACTATTTGGCGCAGTCGATGAGCTGGTACTCGTTACTCCTCTCGAAGCTTTGCTGAACGCCTCGATCTTTCCATAATGTTTCGACGATTTCGTAGAACTCCTGAAAAGCAGGAAATGATATAGCGTTAATAAAAGAATAAAAAATAGAGAAGTGCCAGGTGTAATACTCTCGAGAACCAGAGAAATTGGCAAGTCTACGTAGCAATGCCGTAGGAATATCTAGAAATTAGAGATCTTCATCGAACGAAATTAAATCCACATGGTCAACAACGCAAAAAATTTGGGATAAAAACAATTTGAGGTTTATTTATACTATCTTTATTACAGTCTTTTATTATAACGAGTTCTTTGAATTATTATTGCACATCCGAGTTATTGCCGAAAGGTTGTCCTATTTGTTTGTTTTTCCATCTTTCTATATCATTCTGGTATCTATCTTTGTCTCGAAAAAAAATAATAATAGAAGAACAATTCGGTATCTTACCATCGAATTTTATCTTTAATAAAAAACAATCTCTTTCGGCGCAATACATTCTCTTGAAGATGCAGTGGCATTGTAAAAACAAACACGTACGATAATATGCGAGGAACTAAAAATAAATATTTATTTGTCTGAATACCGGAATGATTCATATATACCTATTTTTTACCATATGTGACTAATAATGAAAGAAAGAAAGAAAGAAAGAAAGAAAGAAAGAAAGAAAGAAAGAAAGAAAGAAAGAAAGAAAGAAAGAGAGAGAGAGAGAGAGAGAGAATGAGCATATACTTTGGAACTGTCCTGCAACTTTCGTCATTTATCGTCGAGCCATGTAGTATCTCATGTTGCTAATAAGATATGTCGGGCTTAAAAGTTTTTAAGTAATTATTCTCTTGTATGTTTGAAGGCGGTTTTCAAGAAAAGACAGACATTGGCACGGCTTTCCGCAACAACTTGCTGCTAGTACCAAAATACACTGAGATGTGACGAAAGGTTACTTTTGTTCGTTTATTAAAAGCACATTATAACGCAAAATACCTAGAGTATCGTCTGGTCTACATTTATTAGATTTATTCATCGCTTATCATTAATTAACATCCATCAGGCATTGTTATTGAATAATCACTGGCGCAAAATACCAATAGAAAAATCGAGAAGAACAAGAAAGATAAATCATTAAGTTACGTGCGGCAGGGCACCAAAGTGTGCAACAAATTACTTTCACGCTTTTCATTCTGACTGTTCGTACGTATTTACCTACCTATTATAGGAATAAGAAGAAGAAAAAGAAGATATATGAACGATCATTTAATGACTTGACGATCTGGTTTGGATGATCTCATTTTCCTTCGCATTAGGTTATTATGATACAAATTTTAATTACGATAGGCTATTAAGATAACTCTTTAATAAGCAAGCAAACCAGTTCTACACATAAATTTTTATCTAGAAACCGGGAAAAGGAAAAATCAATTGGCGAGGGAGAAATATAAAAGTGAGAAGAAATAATTTGTTGTACTTATCTTTAGATCTAGCATTTATTTACTTCTGACGATTTGGACTTCCATACGTAATATTATTTTATGCAATGGATATGCGTTAGATATATGAAGATGCATTCGTAAGCGTTCATGTTCATAGTTTCCAAATATATGCCTGTATTGGTGTGTGTATGTGTGTCAGGATTGCATATCACCGTAGTATAAGTATGTTTTAAATCGATCTGTCATGAAAAATAGAGAGGGAGAAAGAGAGATTCGACTTGGTTACTACCTAATATAAACTTTCGTATCCTTGATAGAATCTCTTCTAGATATTTGGAAGATCAGTCAACAGTGATAAATTAAAAAAAAAAATCATCCATGGCAAGGACGGATAAAGGGAAAGCGCTGTTACATGCATGATAAATTTAATTATTAGAATTACGAATATATCCTCGGATTGTTCCAAGTTTGCTTGTGTTTATAGCGATATATGTATAACATGTATTTAAAATATTCCGATCCAGTTTCATTTATTAAATCCTCCTTTTTCATCGGTCGACGACAATTTAATCGCATCAAAAAAAAGACTGCAAACACAAAAGCAAGTAAGTACTACTTCTACGAGAACTATTACCGCCTGTTGCTGTTCCTAAATGTACCATTGAAAATAACGCAATTATATCTTTAACATTTGAACATAAAACATTTTATTTTTAATAACGACCAAAGAAAAGTCGGTAAACAGAGACATTTCCATTAAATAGACTTCTGCCAAGTCCAATAAGCTCACTGTCTTTTTACGACTGCTTGTGTGTATGTATACCTACTGTTTCTACCTCACATACACAAGTATACGATGTATAAAATAAGTAAGTTATATACCAACGTATAAGAGCGCATCATTTAAAATTTATCTAAAATGTGAAGAAAGACAAATACGTTATTATAAAATGTTATTTAATCCGCATGAATCGTTGGTTCAGATATTTCTTTGTTTCGCTGGTGATTTTCTAAGATGATGATATTGAAAGGTAGCAATACATTCGTTAAATTAAAAATAAACAGTCATATAGGATCATCATAAATACAAAATACATATGTTCGAAGAGTTTCTGAGAATATAATCGAATCGAGTATAATTCGTTTCTTTTTCACTTTTATGTAAATAATTTTTTTAAGTTTACGTAAAAAATGTTTTTCGATAAAAAAGATTGCTACCGCCACTCCGTTACTAGACGGTGTGAACTCGATAGGACATTCGAAAAATTCATTTCGCGCGAATCCTGTATCCTGATAGGCAAAGCCCTATCATCGTCGACGACGACGACAGCACAAAAACATGCGGGTGAACGTAAAGCACGCTATCGGTGAAAAGATTTAATTTAATTAATTTGAGTGTTTCGTTTACAATAGGGCACGGACATATACAAACATTGTACAACCATAAATAATAGTGTATGCTAATGCACATGTATATGCACTCATGTGCATACCTTTTTATGAAAACTCATGTATATATTACGTAAGGTCATATACGAAATCGGCGGCCAACCGCTCATCTACAACTTTGTATATAAGAGTATATATATGTATATTCGAATACGTACCTTACATGTATAGGTAGGTATTATAGGTATGTGTCACAACTCGTGGAGTGAATGACGCAAAATACGCGAATTATTTTGTAGCGACTTTATTTTAAGAGACATGTCGCATCGAATTCGTATTCGCTTTTGTTTTTAAATCCATAAAATCTATGCAAATTCTCTCTCTCTCTCTCTCTTTCTTGGACAAAAAAGAAAGAAAAAAAAATGCAAGAGATATTGATTTACCGCGAACTGGAAGTTTCCGTATCTCATGATTGAACGTTAATGCATAAAGAGAAACATAAGAATAGACTTGCATTCCAGCATTATTCTAATCAATCATCCTTTCCATAAGATCTATGTCTGCCTGCTATCGAAAGAGAGAGAGAGAGAGAGAGAGAGAGAGAGAGAGAGAGAGAGAGAGAGAGAGAGAGAGAGAGAGAGAGAGAGAGAGAGAGAGAGAGAGAGAGAGAGAGAGAGAGAGAGAGAGAGAGAGAGAGAGAGAGAGAGAGAGAGAGAGAGAGAGAGAGAGAGAGAGAGAGAGAGGAGGCTTAACAAACACACGCATGCACACACTCACTAAACTCAAAAAACTACGAATTTTTTTCATGCTTTCGGTCAAATATCACATAAATGAAAATTGTGTACTGTGAGTCGATAGTTGACACACGTATGTTTCAGTGCATGTTTTTCCAAAGAGGTGCGAAACACTTGTCCTGAATACGAAATGACCAAATGGACTAAATAAGCGCCCTCGTTACAATGAGGGCATAATAAGTCTTGTAACACGTTTTTCGATAACAATTTAAACTAATCCCACCTATAAATTAGTTTTATTATTGTCCTAATACTTTTCTATAGATTCCTGTCTAAAGTTACGCAATTCAATGTGATAAAACCAGCGTATAAGATATTACTTTCGAAACGATTATGTAATCTTATTGTAAGTTTATGAAATAACAACAATTATAAATATTTTTGTTTAAATATCACTTTAAATAACTTTTGTGTGATACTTCTGAATATTTTCTATTTTTATTATTTATATATGTTAATTATCTTGTTAAGTGTAGAAAACATTGATACGTGACAAATTATGTTTTGAAAGTGACATTACAAATGCAACGCTAAATGAAACACATATAAAATCGTAGCTATCGAAGAATTTTCACAAGATATTTGTTGGTCTATTCAGAAACGCATAGATATATTTTACATTTAATATAAGAGAACGTAATCGACGTTAAGTATTATATGCAAATACGTGTAGAATATAGTGTAACATATCCTAATGTGGCATTCTATACAAGTCATCAACATATGTGTTGCTGTGTAAACATTGTAAACATTAATCATGCCACGTAGTAGTTCTCAACGACTGCATACGTTCATTACCACACATGCGCGCGTATATTTGTATATGGTCAAAATGTTCAAGAGAATTTATTATCAAGCTCAGACATCGTATCAAGCACGTGTTTTCTGTTTCGTTCGATGACATCGAGAAAGCCTTTTCCACTCTTTTTCATCATTAAGAATGCTAATTGTCAATTAAATTTTTCATTAACTCACTCACCGCAGGATAATCAAAGTCTGGGGAAGACGAGACGTCCAGGATATAGTCGACTCTACTCTGATTTGCAGGATCCTCCAACGTCACGGGCGGCGTTAACGTGCTCATAGCACTGGTTATCGTCTGAAAAAATAAAAAAAACGGAAACAGTCTTCTTGATTTCATTTTCTAATCCCTTCGAAGCTCACTGAAATAAGTGGAGAAAAGATGCTTGTTAATGTAGTTATAGTAAATGATTTAATTCGATTCAAATCATATAAAAAGGCAGGTTTGTTAGCTTGAATAGGGCATAAATTAATATCATCGTTTACTCCGATCACGACAAAATTTTGATGATAATTCGAGACGATGTAAGTTACTCGTATCATGAGACTCTAGATTGCCTTTCGTTATGAAAAAAAAATCGTCAGCTGAACTCACGTGTAATTAATAGAAGGCAAAAATAAAAAAGAAAATAAAGCTAAGAGACTAAAATTAAATGATCACACGCAATTTTAAGCTTTTCATCAACAGTTGAATGTAAGTAATAAAAAAAAAAAATATTTAATATATAAGTAACTGACAGAATAAAATTCTTCAAGGAAGGAAACTTCGTGGGAAGTACGCTAGATGAGGTACTTGTATTTGTCCAGCGAATTACTGCTAATATTAGCTGTGAGCAACGTGTGGTCTTTTAACTCGTCTTTGACAAATACACTTTGAAGCTGGCATGTCACCTATATGTACAATCTCGCCCACGATGAACGACACACACAACGATACATCCGTATTTAAGGACGTATATGTGATTTTTGAGCAGAAAAAACTCTTTTTTTTATAAACATTATTTATAAGATCTTTTATTTCATTATTTATAAATCTTTCTTTATATGGTAGAATGTACTTTAAATATAAAATTAAAAATGTTTTTAATCAAAAATAATAAAAAATGGCGGAGAAAGAGACATTGGTGTAAACATATGTAAAAATGCGGTATCACGAAAATTTCTATTAATATCTATGTGGGTGTGTAAAACAAAGAAACACAATTTAATCTTAAAATATAAGAAAAAAATATGAGCTTCTTTCAAACCAGATCAATTAAAATCTTATTTCTATACAAAATAGCAGACTTTTTTATGCTTTTAAGAAGAAAGTCGCTGTCATCCTTATTAAAAAAAAAAAAAAAGTAAACATTTTAAAAAAAGCCAGCTGGAGTGGATTCTTTAAATTTAATACAGATAATACTTTGCAAAATTCAAATCAATCAGTTTAGTAGTTTCTAGAAGAAATTGTACGAACCGATATCAAATTCACTATTTCGAGAAAAACGTATTTAAAATTGTATTTATAATTATATAAAATAATTTAGTAAATCTTGTACAATAATTATATATAATAAAATAATAATATAAAATGAATTGCATTTTATAAGGATGTAACAATTATTTTTGGATACTTATAATGAATCATTGATTTCAGAACCATATAATGAACCTTCATTTGCCAAAATGAAAGTCTCTTTTGTAACGTTCAGTGCAATTTTCATTGTCTTTATTACTCAATTGATATTTTTTGGAGCCGAAGTTCACACAAGATAATGAAAACTTTCACTAGTAGCTGTGTATTTTTATGTAAATGCACCAAGACAACAAGGCAACAAAATATCTTTACTTAGATCCTCAAAGAGTGACCTTACTTTCTCCAAGACGTTTTTAAAGCTTCATATTCGTTCTTAATATTGTTTAATTGACCTTTAGCATTCGCGCGCTACTAACTGCACCATGATTCTGGGCCATGTAAATAGTAATGATGTTCATTAAACACAATAAATCTTCATTCGTGGAACTATAACGGTAAAAAGTTAATTAACGTGGTATTATTTCATCTTCTTTTATTTTATCAGAAAATTCTTTATAATTTATTATACATGAATTTTTATGCTCTACTGTCCATTCTTCATGCCCGACAGTTATTTTCAATTTTCCAATACTCACAAATTTTATATATACATATGCACATATAATTGCTACAGTATTACAATTAAATAAAACGGTTCGAAACATTTCGAAATGGAAAAAAAAATTGGGGGATGAAATAATCTTCCGATTTGAAAGCGCTAACTATACTATTACTATTATCACTGTAACTTAGCTAATTTTTCTTTTTTTTTTAATTTGTACATGAATATTTAGTTGAATATTTTTGAAACTAGGTTCTTTCAGAAAATATAAAAAAAAGAAATTGATCTTTTTTCAGTCGAAAAGAATACACCCTTAAAGAAAGTCAAAATTTGAAAACTACGAGCACGAGATTGGTGCATTTTTTAACATTTCCATCCGATATGTACCAAATTAATTAGGAATTTGTAATCACATCAATATTTTATATAAGCTCTAACTGCATGTTTCTCTACACTATTAATACTATATCCGCGAGCATATAATGTCATTTATATATATTTGGTTGATATACGAAAGTGGAAACAAGGTTACGTTTAACTATATGCTTCTAAATACGGACACGAAAGACAAATTAATGATAAAATGTTATGTGTTCGTTCGCGGATATTGCATTACGTAACGTTAATACAGAATCAAAAGTTCCTAAGTGATTTTTAAAATCAGTTACATTTTTTCGAGATTTAGGCTAATTTTTTCAAATTGTAAAACTACAAGCCTAAGAACTTGTGCTCCATCTTGTATAAGGCATGATATTCAATAGATAAATTCGTGCTTTGCATATCTATGCTTCGAAATGTTTGATACCTATATAATGAAAAAAAATGAAAAAACAGGAAAAATCTGTTGCTCTGAATAGTTTACTAAAATGGTACTACATATATTTTGTTATTCAAAAGAATTGACATACGCAATGTTCATTAAATTAGGTATATCCCAAAACACAAAATATCATGATCCTAAAATTAAGATAAATATCACTGATTAACGTGTCAATACTTCCCGTAAAGCGACTAAACCAATCGAAAGTATAAGCTATGCGATACATGAGTACTTTTTATATGGCAAATTAATACGAATGAATATTTTTTTTTAGTGTGTAATAATATTTGTATATATTTTTATACCCTTTTAATTAATGTTTTTATAATATTGTAAGTTTTATAACAACTGTACGCTTTGCAGGATGCATGATCCATGTCCACTGTCGAGCTTAAAAGTAAAAAAGAAATCGGATTGTGAAAGAATAAGAAAAATGCAAAAAAAATCGAACAAACAGATTCTTACCAGTATTGCGTCCCTGATGTTCTTCTTTATGTCCTCGATTTTCTGCCGCTTCTCTCTGGAAAAAATAAAGGAAATGGATTATGAAGCAATTGATCAAAATATCAAAATATCAGAGGATAATATCAATAAAAACATAATCAAATTGAAGTAGCGAACTATCGTCATTAAGATACTCCATAGTTTTATCATGCGTGTTCTTCGACAAAGTATATACGTACGTATACGTAAGTATACGACAGTTGATTTGACACAGCAATCTACTTTGCTTCGCTTACTTATTCACTGTAAGCACATACTAACAAAATTCTAATATACATCTCTTTTTTTCTTTCTTTCTAAGTTTTTTGCAGTATAAATACAACGTAACTTTTTACCAAATCATACCAATCTTCTTTGAGTCGAAAACGTAATTCGATTTATTTCACCGTTATATTATCGCATGTTTCGTGGTGACTTCTTTTTTCACTGTACGAGATTTAATACGATACAATATTTATCATACGTGTATACATACATGCATACATACGTATAATCTCCATCGAAGACTCTTTGAAACATGATAAACCATAGGGAAAGACGAATAACGAATAAATTTTGTCTTTGATTAATACGAAAGATAATAAAGTTATAATTCCTACGACGATCGATCGCTTAATATTGCTAAAAAAGAAAAAGAAGAAAGGAAGGAAAGCAATGAGGCGCCTTTCAGACACAACGTTATCAGTTCCCCAAGCAGACAGAATTTACGACACACACGAGGCGGACCGTTTGTTTGCACGTCGTTTTCATCCTATCTAGTTGCTCTTGATTTTTTACGTACATACATACGTATATATGTAATAAGAACCTCATTAGCGATAACGGTATTCGTTTCTTCTTTCTTTGACCTCTATATTTATTTTTATATCGCTATTCTGAAACGGAAATTGTTTCAAAAATCTTCGCAACGGGGAATACAAAAAGTAACATTTTTTCTCTTCATTTGTTCGCTACATTAATATAAAAATGAAAGAGAGAGAGAGAGAGAGAGAGAGAGAGAGAGAGAGAGAGAGAGAGAGAGAGAGAGATCAAGCCAACAAAGAAAATCGTCGAAAATCGAGACAAAGAGAAACGTGAAAGATTAACGATTCGAATTCGTATCGACCACGTGTTGATATTAGATTGACATTGTGGTTCAAACTGATTGCCGGAATGATTCATTTCGTATGAATGCGTATTAATGAAAAGACAAGTGAAAACAAAAAAAAAAGAAAATAAAAAAGAGTTAATCGAAAAAGCAACTCGTTACATTGCACATGCAAGACCACCTTGAAATAATGGTCTTTCGATCATTGGCATTAAGTCCGAGAAAACTTACGCTTCGCTGAAACCGTTGACATGCAATATCCTCATCTGTTTGACGATTGTACTTTTCCCAGATTCTCCCGCTCCTGAAAAAAAAGCAACAATAACGAGATTTATCCGAAAAAAGAAATAGAAAAAGAGAAAGAGAAGGAGAGAAAGAGCAAGACATTTTATACAGTTCTTGCAGAATCTTTTTTGATCGATTACGAAAATAGAAATGTCGTGCATGCTTTCGAAATAAAATTATCGAACAAGAAGTAACAGCAATAAAGCTGAGTTTTCGATTACAGTGGTCTTTTTCCACCGGAGTACAGTATCAACAGTAATTATATGCACGCGCTAGAAAAAACAATGGATTAACAGCTGTTGCTTTTCGGCCGCCAGCCATACACGGATACACAATTCACTCACGTCGAATTAGAGTGACAATCTACATAAGTGAAGAATAGGAGGTAACGCCGACGTGTCGGTATTCTTAAATATCGCGATCAGTAGACACATTGGAAAGTGTCCGTGCACACGTACGCCTTTATGTTTTATGCATTTATTTTTCTACACGTGCCTATGACAGATGAGTTTGAAAGAGAAAAAAAAACAAGTGAGAAAGAGGGAGAGAGGGGGAGGGAGACAAAAAGATAGACAACAAAAAAGGTTAAGAACGATAGAGAAAGAAAATGGGATATACACGAAAGAGGTAGAAAAGTGAGTGAAACAGAAAGGAGAATGTGGAAGTTAATGAAAGCGTGAGTAAGGGAGATAGAGAAAGGTAGAAAAGTGGAGAGAGAAAGGTAGATGTAGGTAGGTAGGTAGGTAGGTAGGTAGGTAGGTAGGTAGGTAGGTAGGTAGGTAGGTAGGTAGGTAGGTAGGTAGGTAGGTGGGTGGATGAATGGGTGGGTGGGAGGGTGAGTAGATAGGTAGGTAGGTAGGTAGGTTGGTAGGTAGGTAGGTAGGTATGGGGGGAAAAGGAAGTAGGGGTTGGTGGGAGGGTAAGTAGGTAGGTGTGTGGGTGGGCGAGTAGGTAGGTAGGTAGGTAGGTAGAGAACATGAAAAAGGTACGACAGAAGCAGCGGTTGGGATATTCGTGGGTGCCGGCTTGTACGATAATCGATAAAATCGAATAACGCGCCGATGAACATTACGATAATGTTCGGCCTGTCTTCAATGAACGCGCGTCTTTGTCCAAAAGCAATTGCCGACCGTTCGGATTAATATTTTAAGTTATCTCGACAAATTTTCTCACATAAAGGATTCATAGTTTTAAAAAAATGTCTTGTAATTAGCAAGTAGAAGCTCTTGTAAATCGATATTTATATCTAAGTACACTCGCCGTTGAAATAGATACCCTTTTCAAAGACGCAAGACATTTTTATTTAAATCTGATTCAATTCCGAATATCCCGCCTTTTTTACAAACTCATAGTGGAAGTAAACTGTTTTGTAGAAACGTGTCCCAAGTACATCCTCGAAAATATTTGTTATTTATTTTATATATTTTTCGCAATTAATTTCTGTTATCGTATTCTCCACGTTGTTGAGATGATCGAAAATCGGTGTTATGTCGATAATGTACAATATTTCTTGATCATAAAAATGGCGCCATTTTTTACCACATCTTGCACAAGTTTGTTCTCTCTTACGTGCATAGCGTTCAGATGTGAATCATTCGTTAATACGTAAGCATAAATAAAATGTGCAAAAAAGCAACATATCATGAAAGACATAGACTTCGTCAAATTTATAAACGCTTTCACGAATAAATTTAATTAGGCAGATGTCACGAATATCTCGACACAAAACTTCGAGATCGAAATAGACAAAAATAAACAAAGAAAAAATAAAAAGAGAATGCTTACCGAGTAAGAGGAGCCTGTGAGTAGCTCGATAGACTTGCTTGTCCTTCTGCAGTTGCCTGGTAATGGCATCCGAGCGTCTTTTCTGGTTCTTACTATCATCCTGACTGGCCTTACTGCTTTGGCTGCCGAAGCACCCCATGACACACCACGAGAAAGACACACGTGACTCGCCCTTCTCGTTATTCCTTGCCACTTCTGCCGATCTTCCTTTTTTTCTTCTTATCGACAAGGAAAAGATCGACGCCACCCCTCCACCGAATAAAAAGAGTGCGCGCGCGCGCGTACTTCTACAGGACCGCTAGAACACACACGAGAATATGGCTACACCGGAGACGACGATACAACGGCGACCACAATGACGACCACGACGATAGCGGCGGCGGTGGCGGCGACGGCGATGGTGACAGCGACGACGACGGCGACGGCGACGACGACGACGACGACGACGACGGCGACGACGACGACGACGACGACGACGGCGACGACGACGACGACGACGACGACGACGACGACGACGGCGACGACGACGACGACGACGACGACGACGACGACGACGACGACGACGACGACGACGACGACGACGACGGCAACGGCAACGGCAACGACATCGACGACGTGAGGATGTTCGAAAAGCGCACCCTCTCCTGCCGTTCGTTAAGGCACGTTCCTTTTCCACGAATTCCTACGTACAATTTCTCCGTTCCGTTCGTCAGTGATGGATCGCGCTTTATCGCCAATTTGCTTGTATCTCCAAACTTACACTCCGTTTCTCTTGCACTTCGTCGGATACAAGGGCTTTGCAACGATCACCGTTAGTCACACCTTTGCTCACTCACTCACTCACTCACTCACTCACTCACACACACACACTCTCTCTCTCTCTCTCTCTCTTTCTCTCTCTCTCTCTCTCTCTGCCTCGGAAGAGTATCCTTCTGCTTTTTGTCTTTCTCTCTTTATCACCTTTCCACTTAATATATATGTGCGTACGTCGACGAATATCTCACACTATACTCACTTCATATTTTCTTTAACCACAGCTTCCACTGGTCCATAACTGAAAGCGAAAGCATAACTACCAGCATTACTATCGTCGATGAATTGATGAGTCAATGAACATTTCTGAGCAACCGCTTGGGCTAGCCGGTTGGCTGGTCAACAACAGCAACGACGACGACAACGAGAATAGTCTATTCCTCTTTCACCGACCAGTCCTTCGATCGTGAGGGGTGCCAAAAAACAGAAACAGCACCTGGGTAGAAAGGCTGACAATGACGACGTCTCGCGCGAATCTGTTCCAGGAGAGGAAGGAAGGGACACAGCGCGTATACGCGACCTCGCCACCTCCCAGACCCTACCACCTCCACTGCCACAACCACCACCCTCTTTACTTCTCCCCCCTTGACGACGGCCGTCACGAAACACTGAGACGTTAAAATAGATCGGCTCTCGACACACTTGCTCTCGCTTCCTCGCGATTTCGAATCAAGTCGGAATAATCATTCGTCTTCGTCTACAGAAAAGGAAGTCAATGTGCTAGAAATCCAACGATGAACCTCCTCTTCTTTCTACTCTTTTTCCACCTTCCCTTTCTACACCTGCTTGTTACCAGTCCTCTCCTCGTCTTTCCATCCTTTTCTTCTAACTTTTTTTCCTTCTCTTCTCACTTTCATTCGTGACCACGAGCTATCATTTCATTTGTGCTTTGAACCACTCGAACGAGAATCCTTCCTGAATACCCGCTGTTTTGGGGGCACGTTCGAACCCCTTCTCGTCATTTAATGCCGTCTGCTTCGCCGCCGCCACCGTCACCGTCGCCTTCCTCTGCCTCCTTAAAATCCCTTTAAAATCCCACGGACACAATCACCGCCACTATATCAGCACTATTAATTGAACCCAATACCACGATCTAGTCACTTCTCAATCCACCTCGTTTTTACCGATCCTGTTTACTCTCCTCTCACTTAAAAATTTTCAAGGAAACTCGCGATCGAAACGTCCGAGACGAGATGTTCCCTACAGCCAACATGTCGTCTGCTAGGCGTACTAGCGCGCCGGCTCATCGCGCTTGCGAGCAGTTCACCTCCGTCCCGTGGTATTCCGAAACCCTTACTACGATACTTTTTTTTCGTTTTTTCTTTTATTTGCTTCCTAAAACGATCAGGCTAATCGAATAAGCACATCGATGAAAATTCACTATTTTATTTGATCTTTTTTATGTCTCTTATAAATATAAAATTTCTTTTATTTTATCAATAGTAAAGATTAATACCTCGCTTATACACTTTCCTACGTTTTTTATGAAACCATATAAACAATCAAGAAAATATTTAATTCGTGACGAATTCGACGTATGAATTGAAATGCAATAAGATCAATGATAGAAAAAATCATTTTATAAAAAAGATAAATTGTTGATCGCGCTTTGAAATACAGTGTAGGGTACGCGAATTCAACACGACGATATTGGCTTTCCCGAACGAAGACCGAAGATTGATCGGATCTTTTCGGTCAAGTGGATATCGAAGCATACAGGTGTCGCCAATGTTTTTCTAGCATTCATTGTAACCTTGTGTATTTAAAGATTATTTTTTTTAATGAAGTAAAGTGAATCGTTCTATAAAAATGCATATATTTAGCGAAAATAAATAATGAATATAGCCTTAATAAAATAATCATTGAATGTATACATGTTTTTTATATTTACACTTGTCTTTTGAATTTACAAAAAACATATTTGTCTCCCGCCTTTCTAATAGTTATTCAACACACAGTGGCAATTGAATGGAAATTGCATATCTTCGAAATATGAATATATTTATGAATAATTTAAATAATCTCACGAACTTGTACAATTTTTTGTTAATTCGAATGATTTAATTTTTTGATTATGATGCTTTATTATTGTTTCTAAAATAATAAAAAATACATCAATTTCTATTGTTCTTTTTATTTTTCATCATCCTACTTCAAAAAATAGATTTTCTTAAAAAACTTTTTAACACAGCATCTTTAGTATTCATAGTTTGAATACAATTAGGTCATTTTTTTTATTATTTTAAAAAAATGAACAATAAATGATATCTAATTTGTTAAATCTCTCTCTTTCTCTCTCTCTCTCTCTCTCTCTCTCTCTCTCTCTCTCTCTCTCTCTCTCTCTCTCTCTTTCTCTCTCACTATTACAAATTAGCATATGAAACATATAAGGTAAAATTTGTTATTATTGATGAGTTACATATTGATTTGTTCCATTTGCATTCTATTTTAATAAATGAAAGTGTTTACAGAACACTTCCTCAAAATTTCTGTAAATAAAAAGTTATAAAAGGCATGTTCATGCCTTATTATTGGAATGTTCATTTATGTTTTATTTTATTTTATTTTTTCATGAATCTAACGATTTTACAAAATTCAAAATATAAAATCGTTAGAATTTATTCGAACGAAATAATTGGAAATACTTTTTCGTTATTCGCTCTATCCTTTCATTACACTCTTTTAAAAATTTATCCAATAATCTATTTTGTATACGAGATTTGTTTAGAAAGTATCCGACCTATGGGCACATTTTTGCATCTAAATATGCTATTACGAGTATTCGTCATTTAGGGGAAACGTTTGTAAGTGAACCTGTGTATAATTTGTATTCATACAAATACATATATAAATACAAAAATATACTCATAGATCAGATACTTTTCAGAAAAATCTCGTACATAACTTTTAAAGCACATGTTTAATCATGGCCACTATTACAATTATTATATCTTCTCCGAGAAATTGTTGAGAAAATACTTTCTCCATCAATCGAGTTTTATGTAATCAAATTTGATCTGTATATGTCGATCTTAAAATATCAACTTTGCATTCATCCTTGTTGTTATATGATGCCATTTATCGTGCTTAATTCTTCTTACATTTTAATCAACATTTATTTGATATCATTTATCTAATCTTCTTAATGATGCTGCTTAATAGTCAACATAGAAGTTGTCCAGCTCTTATAATTTTTTGAATGGACTCGAAGTTGGCATCCTTCCAAGATGTCCAACTTGGGACTTGAAGTATACGAGCTAAAGTACGTTTTGCTTCAAATTCTATCAAATCCACGTTACTTCTTTCACGTGGCAAAAAATTTGAATTAAAGCTCAGCAGTTGTTTTAGGCAATTCTAGAGGTTTTGTATCTTCTGCTAGAAGAGCATTCAGGTCTATATCTTGAAAATTCATAGAATGTTGACTGGAACCTGTAAATCATTTTGGATTATTGCAATAGGAAAATATATTTCTGATTGGCAGGCAAAAGAGTATAAGTCAAATTTTTGCCAAAACAGGAATAGTATGCTAACGTATTTTACATTGCTATTCTTTGCTTATAGTTTTAATACTACAAGTTAATTTCATTTCTTTTCCATTTTTTATGCGCGATTTTAATAATATATATCAAAAATACAGTATAATAATGGCAAAAAAGCAGTATAAGTTGAGTTATTCTATTTTATCCCTATTTTTTTAATTTACTCATATAGTACAAATACACTTATATTATTTAAACTATTAAACATTTTGTGACTTATAATATTGTGTACAGTATAACCACAAAGTTTAACTATCAAATATTCATATTTCACGTGCAAGTATATTGTTTATATGACTTTAGTCAAAAGACTGAAAATTTTGGTCGAAATAATATATCTTCATTTTCAAAAGAAGAATATTTTAAAATTTAGTTTAATGTATATTATATAAATCCAACGGGGCAAGAAAAGTTGTATATCAATTATCACATCCAAAATCTAACATTTTACTTACATTGCATTTTAAACATTATCATATATATTTTCTGGAAAACTAATAATTTTGATTTATAATCTTTGCACCTACTAAAGACACACAACACAAACACACTAATAAATATGATAATAGACTATTTTTTGAATTATGCTTTGTAGAAAATATTTTTCAATTTGAACTGGATTCAATCTTACCAGCATGGGCAAGGAAAAGGTCCTTAAGGAAGCCTAATTCTTTTGTAAGCATTTTTATCTTTTCCTCCAATAACTCATTTTCTCTTTTAAGTTGGTTTACACGTTCCAGAGTTTGTTGTGTACGTAATTTGCTTTTTACTCTTGATCGTTTTACAGCCTACAATGATATAAATGAAATTTATATTGTAATAGTATCAAAGAGAATAATTTTACTTTGAAAATGAGAAATTACTTATTTCTATATTATAAAATATAGAAATAAGTAAAAATAATTCTACCTGATTATTTCTATCACGGCGCCTTCTATAATCTTCATCATCTTCTTCTTCAGAAACTTGTCTTTTTTTCTTGTTACCAGAGTTGTTTTCTTTATTTTTCGGCGCCATCTAAAATATATATTTGAAGATGTTATTTCTGAAATGACGACTCTTTAAGTTGATAATTAATTACATATAACCATTAAAATTATTATGATGCTTGGTATTTACGCAATTACTTTACATGGTTCGATTTGTTGGTCGATGAATAATAAATTAATCTAATTGTAATACTAATCTAATTGTAATCTAATTGTAAATACAGTTTTGAAGATGACATTTGGAAAATGATAGTAAACTTTCAAACTTTTCAAAAAACTAAGAAATTGACCCTGATTTCTTTATACGATTTGAGTTAAGGGTAAATAATATCTCAAGTCGAAATCCATAGTGACAAAGCGCTACCTAGTAGTAAATTTTTAAAGTTTTGTTATTTAGAGCAAATCCAAATAAGATACGATGTAAGAATAATAGCAGTCACATAATCTCAGTAAAATCTTAAAATTTGGAAATTATATTTTTTCGTTAGACAGACGATAGGAATCTAAGAAATATTTATGATATTTATGTTTTTGTAATATATATTTTAGTACTTTATACTATATATAGTACTTTATATTATAGTAGTTTATAGTAGTTTATATTCTTTAGTAGTATAATTATTGTAGTTTATTATATTATAATAATTATATATATTTATTTAATATAACTATAAATTATATCAAACAAATAATATAACTATAAGTTTAGAAATTTTATTACACATATTTTAATACTTTAATTTTTTGAAATTGGCATTTTCGTTTTATACCAGATCGGTATAAACTCCTCCATATGAAAGAAAAAGTTTAAAACTATGATTTTGTACTATTTATGTACTATCTCAACAGAATACGTTGGGTATTATTGTTCCCCCTTAAATATTGCGACACAACTTTAAATGCAGTAGAGACATTATTACGATGACACGATAGTAAGATCGTGAGATTAATCGTAAACCATGTACAAAATTATACTGTTCCCAAAAATATAATATTTATATTTTATGTTGCTATATTATATATTTTATACAATTAATTATTGCAGATATATATTATTTAATACATGTAATCACGTCATTAGTTATTACATTTAACAAGATGGTATGGTTTGATCATACTACAATTATGCTTGTAGTTTTTTGTTGCATGAATTATAATCAATATTTTAAATTTAGTGTAATTAAATAAATACTGAAAATAATAAACAGATCATGTTAAAAATCTTTAAATCTGTTATACGAAATATCGAAGTACATGAAATTTTATTTATTATTATAATCTTTTTATGGGTGAGCTATAATAATTTAAAACCGATACCGCTTCTACTTTTAAACCTTTTAACTCGTATGTCACGCTGGAAAAAAAGATAAGACAATACAAATTTGCTATAAAACTTGTATGTTACCTTTGAAGTGACAATAATTATCATTCGCTATAGTGACATATTTTTCAGTCGATTATTTTTATTTATTAGTTTAGTATCATTATTCCAATGCAAGCAACAAATAATTATCTTTTCGTTTCTCTTTCATATGCCAAACACGCTAGTAGACATACAACATTGAAAAAAATCGACTTCAAAGAGTTAATATATACTTGAAACATATATATATATTTGTACTTTATCTTTTCCAAAGTAGACAATCAAATATATGAATATGCATAAATAAAATTCTATATGAAATCCGCACAAATATTATCCTGCGAATAATGTCATCAATCATTTTTCATATATCACATATTCTTTATTCATTTTTGTGTTGTTTATTTCGTATTTTCCACAACAACATTTTAAGATGCATTGTTTTCTTATCAGGGTCAATGTTTTTGAAACACGCAATAGATTTCAAAAATTCAATAGACAAAAACGAAAATCACACATTGTAAATATTGCTATAATTTCACTTACCTTTTTATTATTTTTTTCTATGATTTAAAAGTCCCTTATATTCAATATGATATCAACGCATATATTAAAAATTTAACACTATTAATCGCATATTGCACGTTACATTACGAGACGTCCCACGATACCATTCAGTTGGATAGGTCAAAGATGACGCAATGCAAGTTGCAGGTGATCCACAAATAGAATACACTGCCCTCTGACAAGAATTATTGGAGTTACGAAAACATAAAAATAAAAACAAAATAAGAAAAAAAATAGAAAACTACCATACAGCTTTACTTATTAATGAACACAATTCGATGGTCAAAAAAGTATTGTGTACGTATATATATATATTTCCTCTATGCAGGAACAATATAAATTGATCTTTATAAAAATAAAATTCTCCAATTTTTTAGATATTGTTATCCTATAAAAATTATAATTACATCGTCACTATTTTTTACATGTTTCTTTGTTAATTTATATATAAATTGCAATTTTATATATGTTAGGAAATGTGTTGAAAGTTAAACCTTCTACAAAAATATTTCATAAAATAATTTATATAAACTTTTTGATGTACTGCTATAAATATTATTCTGAAAGCATCTGAAATAGGATATTGCAAATATAAACAAAAATACTGATACAGGTGTAGAAAATAATTATACATATACATATACATACAAAAAATTATATATATATATATATATATATACAATATTACTTATTCGTTTTCGAAACTACTTTCTGCACTATCGTTAACAGAAGAACTGCTACTTCCACTCCGAGACCTTGAACTTGAACGAGATTGTAATTGTAATTTGGCAGGAGAACCAGATTTTGATCGAGATTTCAACTTAGACAAATTTCTCTATTGAATTGGTTCAAATCTTGATCTAGATCTATTGTGTGATTTAGATGGAGAGTGTGACATCGATAGAGAAGGAGAATGAAATGAAGATTTAGATACTGAATGGGAGTGTGATGTGAATTTCGACGGTATCGAAAAATGAAGATGAAATCTTATGCTGGAACCACGAGAGATTGCTCTAGATGATGTACGCGAACCATTTTCATTTTTAGAACCAGATAAAAAAGCATAATAATAATGATCAGATAAAAATTGTAAAGTTAAAAATATATATAACCTTTCTCTTTTGCTTTTTCAATTTTTTGTTACATTTCTTTTTCCTTCTCCTCTTCCTCTTCTTCTTCGTCCTGTTATACCGATGGTTCTAATTGTTTTTTGCTGTATCTTTGCTTTTTGAATTCATTGACATTTTATGATCGATAATGCATAAATTGAGATCATTAATCGTATATTATTTGACTTTTGATCAGCTTTCTGTCTGCGTTTACTAAGTTGTATACGAGTTTCTAATTCATTATAGTACATCTGAAATTATGAATAGAGTAATTAAATAAGTACTTTAACAATTTCAACAGAAATACTTCATCTTTGATGTACCCTATCTTATTGTATAACAAGGAAATAATTTTTCTCATATACCTTAAGAACTTTGCTTTTAATATTCCAATTATATTCTGTAGCTATTTTATATTCCTCTTCATCAGCATAATTAATACAAGCAATAAAATCACTTCTCCGCTTTTCTAATGTTTCTTCTAAAAGTAATAAATATACTAGAAATTGTCCACTACTCTCATCCATGATATTCCTATTCCTATGAAATTATATATTACAAAGATTTATTATTAATAAAATATGCACACGAGAAGTAAATTAAATTAAATAATGATAGATACAAAATCACTTACTGAATCATTGCTTGAGACATCTCTTCTATTTGAACAGTAGTTTGAATGATAGAATGTCTTGTTAGTGCAGGATCGAAATCAAATATTATTTGACTATAAGGATATTTACATATCTATGAAAAAGAAATGACATAATTATATTCCAATTTAATAAAATTTATTAAAAATCATTTTTATACTAGTAGATATATCTTAAAATCAGAATATATACATGTACAAGATATCAACAGATACAACAATTGGTTTGCTAATGTTTACTAATTGGTTTTTTATTATCCTCAAATGTTTTTTTAATTGCTTTTATTTGACTTTTTATGTCCATATATAACATTTCTTTCTGTAAATCACACAAAAAATTAACATAAAAGATTATAGATATATAAACATAAATAAACTACTTATTACATTTATATATAACCTTGAATTCTTCTTAATATTGTAACTAACTTTATTAGCTCTTTGTGGTTGAAATCTAATCTGCTCTGTAGAAATATATTCGGTACATTTAAACTAAGAAACATTTCTGGCATGACGTATAGACTTTTTTGAATCTCGTGGCTTAAAAAAATCTTCCAAAATTATTTCATCAACAGGTTCTAACTAAGCATTAACATATCTGGCATAGGTATCTTTATTTATAAGATCTATTTCAATATCTAAATTATGTTCTATCAAAATTTCATATTTGAAGTTATTATTTAATATAATCCCACATCACTGAAACAGTTGAATTAAACAGTAGAATTACAGTTGTTATATGATTGTCATAAATGCATAAAATTTATATGTGATAAACTTTGAATCAAATAAAATATCAGGAAGTGTATTACAATATTTAATTCTACATATTAATTCAGATCTATAAACAAAAATAGTGTAACTGATACTAGTATGTGATTTGAAAAATAAACATTTGTGATTAATTCCTCCACTTGACCTGGTCTTTTTTGTGTTGGTCTCGCTATTATTTATCTCTTTCAAATATATTTCTATTAATCTGAATTGTCTGTACTATATTATCGAAATAAATAATACTTAAAGAAATTCGTTTTTTTTTTTAATGTTGAATTAGAAAACGAAAAGATGTAAAGAAGTGTTGTGTTTCTGTTAAGACATTAGATAATTTGATGTTGTAACTCAATGAAATCAAGTCGTCGTTGGTTCATACTTATTAATCCAAATTCTTGTCTAAAGTGTTTGGATTTCATAAAATGTGTAATAAGTAGAGAATAGATTAATTTTTGTTTTCCTACTTTTTATTTTTTGTACTAATTCTACATTTTTTATCAGTTATTTTATTAGTTAAACTTGTCACATTTTTTAAAGTCACTTCTAATTTTAATTAAGAAGAATAACACAAACTTTTTCTTAACAAAACGATAAATATATTTGGTATCTATACAGGATTCAATAAAACAAAGTGTATAACTAAACTCATACAACTCAACAAGGAGACAAAAAAGTGTTTCCTATGTTGCTAGCAACCATAGGAACAAGAATTGCTGAAACGAGATCGTTGGACGAAATTCATCGCACGCTGATTGGCAATTAGCTCACGTTGGTCACACGACAGTGGTTACACTCTCCGCCAATCGCATTATCTCCGGCTGGCGCATAAATTTAACAGACGTTTAGCTGGATAAGATTTTAAAGTTGTCCTTATTGCATTTGACTCTCCTCAATCCATTAAAATGACTTCTATAAAGGCCTGTCAGTGGAGATATTCACTGGCTATTTTTTGTACAAGATTCTGAAAATAGAGTTTGACTTTCTATTTAACATTTTGAATGGATCTTCATACAGTTGATCAAGTAATTTCCTAAAGCTATCAAACGCATGCGAGCTTATATGCAATGTTTTATGCACAAAGTCTTCTTTCACAGTGATGAGTTGTAAATTTTGACTTGACATTTTATATATATGATTTTATAATGAGTTTCTTCATTAATGAAATATTCTGGTAATCCGAGTGTTTTTCTGAAAGTCATCTCAGCCACAAAAACTTAAATTCTCTCCTTAAAACTTTATGAAATCCAAAAATGATTGTCGGGAAGATTTCGCACCAGTTTTTATTGTTATGATATCTAATAGCAGCTTTAAAAGATCTATGCCATTTCTCAATGATGCCCTTGAATTTAGAATGATAAGCTGCTATGCGTATATTTTTACTTCTGATATTTCGACAAGAAATTCGAAATGCTATGATTTAAATTGAGCGCCTCTATCAGTGATTAACGTCCGAGCTTCAAATTTTGCGGTTCAGGTATAAAAAATGCATGCACTATTGTGTCCGCTGATGTATCGGTGATTGGTCTTGTTAATTATGATTATTATTGTTTAATTAATTATGATTGTTTATTATGATTAAATAGTATTTGTTATCTTTAGATGAATAAAATGGATCAATAACATTAATGTGTATATGTTGAAAATGGATACTTGGAATATGTCAATATGTATTAGAACTTTATGATTACATTTATTGATCTTTAGTTTCTATTTGGCCATATAAAATTGCAATTGATCATCTTCCGAGTTGCACATTCTCTGAGATGTGACAAGAAATGTATAAAGTTAAATGGAGGATGATATTTGCAGAATGTTCATGAGTTGTCGTTCATGAGTTTTTCTGAAACTTAAATTTCTGAATTGTTACAGTCACGTCATATTTATTGCCTCTACTCTTGAAAGAGTATCTATTATAATATAATCATGGTCTGCAATGTACTATATACGACTTGTAAACTGGCTGTTAAAATCAAACTGTCAGAATAACCTTGGCCATGCCTTCGAAGATTTTTGTAAAAATGCGTTCATATAACAGTCGTAGATACTGTATTTAATTTAATTAGAATTGATGAAAAAAATCATAATGATTGTCTGCTTGAAACATTAATCTGTTCGAGTGTTGCAATAATGAATACATCTAATGCATTCTTTTAAGCGGATGCAAGAAAAAGATCGCTTTTGTCAATTGCTTCTTGCAGCATTCGAAAGTTGTCTCAGCATCTGAGATCCAAATGATCGACCTATTATCGTCTTCTTGACATCCACTAAAAAAGCGTTTAACGACACTTGCGTTTAGACTGTTTTGGGAATGAAACATCTGCGAAAATTTATCATACCGAGAAATCTACGAAGTTCTTTAATAGATCTCTCAAAGTATTTAATTGTTTCAACTATGGTTTCCATAGATATGGTTTAATCCGAAATATTTTAAAAAAGCTTAATTTTCTTTGAAAAAAATCTTGTAAAAATAATATTTTCCTGACAATAGTTCATGCATAAAAATAAAGCTTTTTCAAAAATTCGCGGAAGTTATGTCGCTTATATCTTAATTTTTAAAATGAGACCTTGTTCATCAAAATCCTAACTCAACAGCCTAGATTCGCTGTTGGCATAAACGTTGTTGTCATCTTTCATTAAAAAAAATCCGTATAATAACGCCCGTTGAATTTCGCGACAAAAAAGAAGCTGTTACCATCACTACTAATTTATATATAAATGCTTGAGTAAATTCTGTTTTTCGTAAAGTAGACAAGTACTTCCTATTTTGTGTGCATAAACTTACGCTTATATATTTTTTGATTCATTTTAAACGCAAGGGAAAGCGTTTCGATAACATGAAGCAGCTATTTTAATGAGCTTTCGATGAATTATTCTATTATTTTCTTAGGAATAATATATAATTTCTGAATAACTTAATAACTATTTAAATAATATACATATAATATATATAGAGTACAATAAACTAATATTTAGACAATACATTCGCTGTAGACAGTATATTAGTATATTTTCTTTACCTAGCTCGTAACATGCGTTAAATACAAAATAATTTGACTGATTTTGATTGTTATCGAACCAGTTTCGTTTTGCGGGTAAACTAAGACAATTTATAATTTTATTTATTTTACTAGTTTATAACTGACTAGTATTTAAAGAATTATTCATACAATCACAAAGTAGAATCGGTGTCTGTCGGTTCTTCTTTCTTGGGGTAGGATAGTCGTTGCATAACAACTATGAAGACTTAAGGTAAGTATATTTTAATATCCAATATTTTTTCCATATTTTCCATAATTTCTTATAAAAATAATACTAATCATTTTATGTTTATTTTTCTGTTTCAGAATTCCATTACAATTGTGCGTGGAACGTGGGGAGATTCATTGTTCTGTACAGGTAAAATAGGAAGAACACCCATGTACCTGTCAGTGGACACAGGCGTATGTGTTCGCGGGCACTCTACTATGGATTAAGTCCTACTGTAGACTTCGTTTTAATGTTCGAAATTTCGAAAATACTACCGGCTGTAGTCGATAGAGATGACTTAAACTTCCGATGTGGGATGGTGGAGTCCATAAGTCAAGTTTCATCACCCCGTTGTTAGTCGAGAATCCTGAATCTCCAGAAGCGGCATGTTATCCCAACTTTTAAAGTAGAGTCCGTGAATCTCCATATGCAGCAACTTCCTCAACTTCATGGTGAGATCTGGTTCAGTATTACTTGCAATATATCGAAATCTAAATCTAGATTATATAACACAAGTACTACCGGATAAATGGCTGCATATTTCAGTGCGTTTCTAAAATTTTTTCTTTCTATTTTTAACTAAACTTAAAAGTATATTTATTATACATTACTAGTTACGCTTGTGTAGATAAGTTGATTAGATAGAATTATATTAGTAAAATAATTTCTTAGGGAAACACTTAAATTTGAAACAATTTCAAATTTTTTTATTATTCTTATTTATTAATGATGATATATACATAATTATTAATAACTATTTAGATAGGTATAAGTTTTTAATAAGAGAAAACAAATTTCTTTTCTCTATTAAGAATTTAGATTTTCCTTTGATTTTGCTTTCATTTTTAAATAATAATAATAGTAATAATATATAAGAGTAGAGTCATTGTTGTTGCTATTATTTTTTATATGTTATATTTTATATATCATGTATTCTGTCGCAAATAATACAGGCTAATGTCTGTTTAAATACGCTTTAAGATTGTTCATCATACCTGGTTTTATAATGATCTACGCCATTAATAAGAACAATTGTAATTCTTGATCGATTTTGATGAACAAGGTTTCATTTTAAAAATGAAGGTTTAATCCAGGACCCTACTTTTTTGATTTTTTGAAAAAGCTTTATTTTCTTTGAAAAAAAAAAATCGTATTAAATAATGGTATTTTACCGAGAATAGTTTATGCACAAATAAAATGCTTTCTCAAAAATTCGAAAAAAACAGGAGTCTAAATTAAATCTTCGTCTTTAAAATGAGATCTTGTTCATCAAAATTGGTCAAGAATTACTCCTGTTCTCATTGATGGCGTAAATGGTGTTTTCGACATTTTTCGCGAAGAAAATGTTTTGTACTTTGGCGCTCCTCGAAATTTTTTATTTTTGTAATACATATATGTATATCCGCCATATTGGATCCGTCATTTTGTTTGTCATAATTTTAACTTTTGATTCGTAATCAACGACTTTGAAAATCTTAATATACAAAGTCTCAATTAAACTAACAAATCCTTTCATATATTGGTCAAGTTTTTGAGATTTCGTACCACTATGGAATGCTTGAGAATCTATTCTATACTTTATTCGCAATGTTATGTACGCGTATGATTCAAATATTGAAAATGCACATGTGTTTCTGACACGGTATTTTTACATATAAATATGTAGTTTCGTAATTGATATACCCTCTCTGTTGTACTGATTTACTTTTATCGAGTAAAAAGAATAAATAAAAAAGATATATAACGTATATGAATTAAAACAATTCTGTACCCTATTTGATTACAATTTTATTGAATAAAAGAATTAATAAAATTGAAGGGCAAAGTGTTTTTATTGTAAAATTTATAATTTTTTCTTATTAGCACGCACACACATAAGATGTGTATTGTGATTTATAATGCGTAGGTTATAAATTTGTAAGAAAATATTTGTTATATTTTTAATACAATATAGGTTTGTAATTAATGCCTTTCCTTTTTTTCTGAAAATAAATAAAGATATTGAAACGGAAAAACAGTGCAATATTTTTCGTTTCGGTTTATCATACATTTATTACGAATTATTATAAACATTTATAGCATAACCTTACAATGTTCTGTATTATTGGTATATACACAAGCACGGAAACAGGAACGTATCGGAAGTACACTGAGATTACTAGGAAAACTATGAAAATAGATACAGTTTCACAGAATTGTCGTATAATGAAATTAAATATTTATAATATTGGATTGTATTGTAGCATTTAATAAGCTGCACATTTAACGAACATATATAATTTGTTAAATATATAAATGTAAGTATAAATATATTATATAATAACATTCATTTGTTTGTTGTATGAATTTAATCATCGAATCAAAGCATACCAAAGTACAATAGCCAGAAAAGGAAGAACAAGTAACCAGCAAACGGAAGTAGAGCCTTCAAATTAGATGTCGCTCTCAAGTGACGGTTCATTAAACTATTTTACAAGCCTCCATAACTTTACAATATCTATGAAATTGTAAATTAGTCATTTCGCTGTAGTTAGTGTTTCATTATATAGGCAATATATTTTTAGTATTTTAAATACTAACAATAAGTAAACTTATAAAAAATATAGTGTAGTATATTAATTAAATACTAAGAATATAAACTAAAATATATAAAAAACTTTGAATTTACCACTAAAAATTGTAATTGGTTACAAGAATTCATGCGCCATGCTTTCTTGATTTTATAGTGTCAACAAATCTGTTTCACGTTCAATCTTCAATTAAGATATTTTGTACATTTATATTGTATTAAATATATTTTGAAATAAGATGTCTTATCAGTTATATAGAAATACAACGTTAGGAAATACGTTACAAGAAAGTCTTGATGAATTGATTCAGGTATGTATACGTAAGAGATTCTTTATATTTAAGGTTAGGTATAATAAAATATTTTGTTACATCTTTGATATTGTTTTTTTTATGTATATTTTCATAATAAAAATATAAATAAAGTATAAATTAGGTTAGAAGTTAACAGCAATTGTAATAATAAAAATATTATTTTAGTATGGACAAATTACACCACAACTTGCCATAAAGGTATTATTGCAATTTGACAAAGCTATCAACCAAGCACTTGCTACTAGAGTTAAATCACGACTTACATTTAAGGTAGTAATAATTGTTGTGATAATTACTATATTTTTTATAAGTATGTAATACTATAAATAAAGAATTTTTTTATTTATATTTTAGGCAGGAAAATTAAATACTTACAGATTTTGTGATAATGTTTGGACATTTATGCTTAATGATGTTGAATTTCGAGAGGTTCAAGAGATTGCTGTAGTGGATAAAGTAAAAATAGTTGCTTGTGATGGTAAAAGTAAGTAGGTTAATAATTTAACTAACTTTTTCAAATTCTTTTTACTAAAACGTATTTCAAATTTTTTCAGCATTAGATGCAGATGCAGCAGCAAAACGATAGCGATTATTAGATTATCTCATATTTATAAGAAACGTTTGCTATTGCTTTCTAAATACTACAAATAATATATATATATATAATTTTAAATATTTTATATATATATAAATATATATATATATAAAATTTTTACAATAGCAAATATTTGAAGAAAATACAATGCAAATGCAAAATATGCATAAACTTCTCTTACTTCCTTACCGCCAACATTATAAAAAGATTAAATTGTTACAAATTACAATAATTTATTAATAAGTAAATACACTATATTTATGCTAAGAAGTATGGTACCTATACTTGTTATTGTAAGAGTTAACGCTTCTCTAATATTTCTATTATATGGTATTATATCCGATACATAAAGAGCAAGTATATTTATAATGTACTGACCATCTGAAAAGAAACAAGGTACCACATTAATAACAGCCAATCCAGCTGAAAACATTGTGATATATTTACAAAGTAGGACTAGAGATTCAGGAATGCTAGGATTTAAAAAACTGTATTTAGGAACCCAATCTGATACATCGACTGTTCTGTAAATATCAGCTGGATGCCCAAAAAATAACACATCTTTTCCCATCTTACGTTTTATGTGTACGATCTGTAAAAGCATTGTAAAAACATTAAAGTATAGAATATTTTTTAAAAAACTTATAATAAACTAAATATTACATACCTTAGTTACATTATCTAAAGAAGGTTTTATACAATGTGTATCTTGAGAGGAACACTCATGGCTTGCTTGGCAATAGTTTTGAGACTGATTGATCATGGTTCTTGCTGGAAGACAGGAATGTGGTGGTAAATGAAGAGGTGCACCCTGTGGCCCTTCTATATATTCAAAGCATAGACTTCCAGTTGTCTCGCTATCTAAAGTACAACAATTTACTACTCCATTATTTCTTTGTATAGATGGTACTGATTCGTCATATTCCTAAATGAAATCAAAGTTATTAGTAAACAGAAATTAAATTTTTTATATTGTTGAATATTCTTGTAGTACCTGAATAAAAGATTGTTTAACACAATATCCAGGAGCAGGCTGATGAATAATATTTAATATACATTGGTACCAGTCTTCATTATGTTTAATGGGACAATTATTTACTTTATATATTATATCATGTTCTAAAAGACCTGTTTGACCTCTTACAGGTGAATTCTACAAATTAAATAATTATTTGTGTAAAAGTGTAACATTTCTATATTTATCATTTTATTTTTTTTAACTTACAGGTAAAATGTTTTTTACATAGACTCCACTATAAAGATTATAAAGAGGAGCCCAGAACCATGTTGAAAGCACAAGAATTATTGCAGCTAAAGCTGCAAGAATTATGTTGTGCCAAACTCCTGCACATGTAATTCTCAATTGATTACGTAATGGCAATGATATAAATTGTTCATTATTTATGTTGACATAAGCTATTGGTATAGTAAAAGCTAATAATATTCCTATGCCATATAACTGTACATCTTCTCTGACTGCAGCTAATGCATGACCAAGTTCATGAACTATGGTACAGATTACCAGTGTTACTGTATAATATCCAATTTCATTAAATGGCATATCAATTCCAGGCAACTGTAATTGATAAAAAAATAAAATTGCAATTATGTATAAATATAAGTAATAGTATCAAATGAAAATAAGCAATAAGTTAATTATATTTTTGTAATACCATTGGTTCCAGTAATATAGCTGTATTTTTATTATCTGTAAATGGTCCAGCAACCCATATATTAAATGTTACTCTTAAAATTGCAATCATTACAACTGGTAAAATAATAATACTTATTATGGCTCCAACATTGAACCATGTTGTCCAAAATTTGGAGCGATCCATGCCCCATTTGATTATTTTGCGATTGAATACAGTAGTAAACCATTTTATTCGCATTAACTGAACTTCTAATCCAGTATTTTTTAAAAAATATATGTATGGAAAATGTGAACAGGTCTAAACAAATATATGAATTATGTATCAATTTTGTTAAAATATTTCATAATGATATTTATACATTTTACCTTGAAAATTGTGTCGAAAAAAAATAACGAACAATGTATAAGACCAATTACGATCAATACATTTAAAATATCCATTCTTTAATTTATTAAATGTTTCGATTTTCAATATCAAAGTATAAATCTTATTTCAAGGCGCTTTAAAAGAATTACATCTTTTTACTTGCTGAAATTCATAGCGTTTTATGCAACTTTATATGAAAGGTTTACTAGCCTGATAAGTAACGTCAACACAATGTTCAGACATGTTCAGAAGTTATTGTTGTTGTTCTATGTTGTGTTTTGCCTATGCCTAATTCATATAGGGAATTTTTCTTCTAAACTAATAAGTCAGGAATTTACAGAACTTGTATCATATCCTTATCTGTCATCTTTCACTTTGTTTACAACCTTAAAAAAGTAAAACAATGGCACCGAGGATTTGTTAGAATTAATAATTTTTACTTATCGTAGTTACCAATCATTGTATTTGTTATAAATATATTTAAATCGTTACCAAATAAATAAGATGTCAGAAGAACTTGACGAACAAATTCGATTATTATTTGCGGGACAAAATTTAAATAATGACACGTATATTGCACATACCGTTCAACATGAAGAGGATGGTTAGTATGCAATATTCAAAAGATTTATCAATACCAATTTAGAAATATCTAATCATTAAATAACATTATTTATTGATATTAGTTTCATTAATATACTGGTTGTATAAAAATATAAAAATAAAGTAAATTATTTTCTGTAATACATGTACTAGAGATGTTTCTATAATACATGTACTTTATTATTCTATTCAATTATAAATTTCATTAAAAGTCATGTAAACATGATTTTCTTATTATAAGTAAATTATGTTATGAATTATTGTACAAAATGTTTATTTGAATGTATATATTGTAGGTACAAAAAGTGTCTATACTACTACAGATACAAATTATATACCAATTTGTCAAAAAACTGTGACATATATTGTAGCTGCTGTAGTTATAAATGATCAAAATGAAATATTAATGATGCAAGAAGCAAAGGCTTCCTGTAGTGGCAAATGGTATTTACCTGCTGGTCGAGTTGAACGCAATGAAAATTTATTAGATGCTGTAAAAAGAGAAGTTTTAGAGGAAACTGGACTTATAATAGAACCTAAAACATTAATATTAGTGGAATGTGCAAGCGGTTCGTGGTTTCGCTTTGTCTTTATAGGTGATATATCTGGTGGTAATATAAAAACATCGGATCAAGCAAATGAAGAATCATTACAAGCACGTTGGGTACATAATATAGAAGATTTACCACTTAGATCTAATGATATTATTCCACTAATAGAAAGAGGCAAAAATTATATTCTGAATAAACCTGACCGACAACATCCACATTTAATGCCATTATCAAAACCACTTTCCAAATTATTATTACAAATAATTATTACTGCCAAAAAAAGAGCAACGTAAGTTTATTATTATTGAATAAGTTCAACAAATTTAAAAGTTACTCATTTATAAATATATCACTGCTATGCTTTTTTTTCCATTTAGTATTCACACTTTCAGTTTAAGTAGAATCAATGGTGATAGTTTTTTTAACACGAAGAAGATATTCCAATTATGACAGTGAATGTGGACAATGGATTAATTGGATTGAACGTGATATACACATATGTATATACATCTGCACTTAGGTTAAGAATGTTTTTATCTTAATCTGCAATTACTAAATGGTACACATGATTTGCATGGCACTTTCTTACTTTTATCTATTTCATATTTATTTAAATTATTTCTATTCTACTTAAATTATTCTTTATTGCTAATGCGATGTTTTGTTTGCATGTTCTTTGTTGAATCTTCATTATTAATTTTTTAATTATATTAATCATTACATCGTCATATGCTTTTATCTATATAGAGCTTAACTTTCAGTATTAATAAATTAGTCATAAATATTTGTGCTACCTGCAAATACTAATTAAAAACTATATGATTAAACAAAACATTATTTGGAAACTATTACAATTTTATAGAAATATTCTTGTAACTAGATCTTTTACAAATGCTGAAAGACATCCTTGACACTTATAATATATGTAATTACTCTTAAAAATTGATATGTATTTAGTATTTTTCTAAAATATTGTTCAACAATTACACTATATGTTATGTAAGACTAATGTCAAATATTTTGTACATTTTAAAATTAATATTATTCACAGGAACAAATTACATGTAGTTATATTGGATACAGAATTGCTTCATTTGCCTGTTTGTGAAATCAACCCTAATCGTAGTCTTCTTTCCACCTTGCACAACTTTATGACTGTAAGTACTGAATTTAAATATATATCTATAATAAATATTGTTTTAATTTGCTTTATCTGTATTAATGGAATTTTTGTTATTTGTATAAACGCAATAATATATAATATAATAAAAGTACACATACACACAAACGTATCTAATTTTTCATTTACACAATAGATTTATTTCTGAAAAATCTGTGTAAATGAAAAGTGTGTGAAAAAAAAATCAGTGTATATGGAAAAATAGAAGAATAGTTCCAGATATGAGAATCTTATACAAACAATAAATTACTTTTAAACAAAAAATATGCAAACGATAAATAAAACTCTTTAATTTTAATAAAATACTTTATTTTAATGATGACTTTTATTCTAAAGTGTTTTCTCTTCAGAAACTGAGTAACGATTATTTATCATTCTTTCTTTTGAGCTTATCCCTTTTTAACTTAAATCCTTACAGTATAACATAAAAACGGACAAAAGATTAAATCATCAAGAGAGTTCTCCAAAAATCAAATTTAAATAATTTAAATACATATGCACCGTTCTAGAAAATAATAACTATAATGGAAATATTTTATTTAACTGAATAAAAACAAAATTTTAAAAATAAACACTATTTAAAACGTCTTGAATCAGAATATACTATGTAAAAATTCTTTGTTTTCTAAACTGTGTTATTTCGAAATTATATATAAAATAGTCATGTAAAAAAAATTAGGTGTATATATATATACTTTGCTTATATATAACAAAGAATCATTAATTATGTATGTAGGAAATCTTTGGGACAGACGTGGCACCACATAAACCACATGGATTGTTATTGGTTGAGTTTAGTGGAAATCATGATGGAGATGGTCTTTGTTTGTCATTATTAGTGTCTTTTAAGTTACCAGTAGAAGAAGTACCCATTATTGGAAAATACTTTTGGTACCAAGCCTCAGAAAATACAGCAGAAGCTATTACAACTCGTTTACCACGAAATATGACCGTGCCATTAAATGTGGTACGTTAATTTCCACATTTTATACTACCAAATAATAACATTCATCTTCAGTAAATGCATTATAATTTATGAAAAATTGTTTATTTACATTATACCTAGTCTATACCAATGATTTTATTGACAATTTAACGTTATAGGCCAACAATTATTAAGGAAGTTATATACCATAATTTTGCTAACACAGATTACAAGTATTTTACTTTCTAATTGTATTATTTATATTCAGTACTTAATTCTTGTATTAATTTTTTAATCCTATTTAAACATCTTTAGTAAATTTGTCCAAATTGAAAATATAATTCTTAATCAAAATGATTATTTATTTCAAGAATATATCTAATGTGAAAATTGAAATCTTACATACAGATCGCATGCTATAGTATTTATTAAATTGGTTTGTTTTATAAGTGCAAACATATGAAATTACAATTCTTGTTAACTTATATACATATGTTAGGCAAAGCATTACTTATATCTTTTATAAGCAATTTTGTGAATGTTATATTTAATATAAATAAATATTTTATAAAAGAAATGCTTTATAAAAGTTTATTTTTAGACAATAAGAGATATATACTATTATATATTTGCAATTAGTAATATAAGTTAAAATTAGATAAAACAAAAATTCATAGAATAGTATGTTGAGGTTTTCATTAATTATCAATGTCATAAATATACATTTTAAAAAAGATTTCATATTACAATAGGTTTCAAATATTTATAAAAATGTATGTTTATAATAATATAAAAGATCTTTGTGTTAAAATCATATATACAAGGTGTGTCTAAAAAATAATGAGACTGATCTCGGTTCTTCGGAATTGGCAACACTATAAATATTGCAACATTATTGTGAGATGTATGTCTTCTTTCTGTATCAGTTTCAACTTGATTTAGCTAACACGAATGATTTCGCAGAAATCGATTAAATTTTACATGTTGTGTTAAACAATACAACAGAAACGTTTATAAAATAAATTGAAATTAGCTTACAAAAATGAAGTTTTATTCAAGGCACAAGTTTTAGGTAGCACAAAGATAGTCTCGAGACTGTAAAAGATGAAGCTCGTTCTGGAAAACCTTGGACTTCAAAAATTAAGAGAAATGTTGCAAAAGTAAAGACTCTCAAAGATCTGATCATCGTTTGACAGTAAGAATGATTGATGACGAGTTAAATTTAAATTTAAATTACTGAATTGTTGACTTTTTGATTTAGAATTTGTGCATGCAAAAGATTTGTGCCAAATTGGTTCCAAAACATCTCTGCTATAAATGAGTTTTTGGCCAACAAAAATATTTCTGTGGTTCCACAACCTCCATACTTTTCTGATTTGAGTTCGTGACTTTTTTTTTTCAAGAAAATCAAAAGCCATCCCAAGGGATATCACTTTGGAACTGTGGACAACATTCAAAAGATTATAACTGACTAACTGAAAGTAGTTTTAGTAGAAGTGTTTCAGCACTATTTTCAGGAGTGGAAGCAATGCCTCTGGCATTGTATAACTTTTCAAGGGAACTATTTTGAAGGAGATAATGTACATTTTTAATTAAATGACATATAAACATTTTTACAGAACCAGTCTCATTCCTTTTTAGATACATCTTATATTGAGCTTTCTGTTATATAAATCATATATATAGACACACACACACACACACACACACACACACACACACACACACACACACACACACACACACACACACACACACACACTGAAAGAGAATTCTTATATATAGATATAATATTATTAAAATTTAAATTTTATACATAATATAGTTTTCTTTTTTTCTTTAAGAATTTATGTAGTCGTTGGTTTTGATATTAAAGTATTATCTGATCTAGGCTCATCAATACATTCATTTTTTACAGGAACCACATTAACTGTATGGTGTATTATTTCAATATCACTTATCTGTGAAGTCAGTGTTACATTATTTAGTGAATTTGAATGAGGAACATCATCATGATCTTTTGTATTTTGCATTTGCTTTGTACCATTGTCACAAATTTCCACATTCGTATTTATGTTTACTGTATGTTTTTTCATATGAGTTGTTAAGTTTCCACTATGATAAAAATCTTTGCCACAGACTTTACATTGAAATGGTTTAATTCCAGAATGTATTCTTTCATGTATTGATAAATTCCCACTATGTCTGAATTCTTTACCACATACAGAACATTTATAAGGTTTTACCCCTGAATGAGTACGCAAGTGTGTAGATAAATTTCCACTGTGACTAAACATTTTACCACATATTTGACAACCATATGGTCTTTCGCCTGAATGAGTCCTCATATGTATCGCTAAATTTCCACTATGTGTAAAGCATTTCTCACACTGATTACATTTATATGGTCTTTCCCCATTATGAGTTCTCATATGAATAAATAAATTACTCTTGTGTCCAAATTCTTTGAAACAAATTTCACACTGACACTTTAATTTCTTTGTCACTGTAGTTTCAGAAGAACTCTTTGGAGGTCTTCCTGGACGATTATGTTTCATAGATGGAATTGGTTGTACAGTTGTTGTAGTTTGATTAACACTTTTAGACTGTTGCGAATATTGTAATCCTTGTGTTGATTGCGTTTCATCTGATAAATTCTGTTGGCTCTGATCAGAAAATTGAGTTTGTGTAGCAGCTTCCTCTTGATGTTGGTTAAGTTGAAATAATATGCCATGATGGAAGTAATCTTTCACATATGTTAAAGAACCAGTTTCCTAAAATAATATCATGTTTTTTTTTGTAGTTTTTCTTGTAATATCAACATAACAACCAGCTGATTCAAGAATCATTGAAAAATAAATGTTGATATGTTAACATGATGTTAATGAGTTGTACTTGATGTAACATAAATTATATATCTGTTTCCAAGTCAAAGAAATTTTTTTATCTTATGATATAAGTACAGTCAAATTCTTATTTTTAGAAGAAAAAAATAGTCATTATTATATATTGCGTAATATAATAGTTATATTATAATAGGTATCCTTTACAATTATAATGATTATTTACTTGTACTTGAAGCAGATCCTGACAGTTATAAGTTTCATCTTTTTGAGGAAGATTTACAGATGATTGTGCATAATCCCAAAATTGTGGTAACTGACGATATCTACACTCAGGATCTTGATTGATAAACAAAGGATATTTAGAATTATCTGAAGTATCAATCCTACCATTTCTACTGACATCTTCTCCTCCTACATATTCGTACTTTATTGGTATAGGACTAAACATCTGTAAATACATATTTCTAAAATATATTTTTTGATATCTGAAATTGATAGCAAATTTATCATAGCTATGCACATAAAAATTAATATTTCTGGGACTTTAAATGAAAAAGATTTAAACATCAATAACAAGGTGTTATTAAGTAAAATATAAGTCTAAAAAAAACATACATGAAAAATACTCACACTTTCACTTAATAAATGTTCCTTGAAGTTCAAAACCAATACTGCACAGTATTTCAGCACTTACTTATTCAAACATTAATAACTAATTAAATATGACAGATTCGATGGATAGAGTGAATATGGTAATAATCTTCCATTCTTAATTTTTATCATAAAATAATTGTGACTACTGTTACCAGTCACTGTAAGGTTCATCCATGGATCCATTACAAGGTATATCCAATCTCTTTGTCTGCTTTCTTAATATCAATAAGTATATATATTATAAGATTTCCAATGTACTCATTCTGGCAGCAACATGAACTTGCTATTAGATTTCAGCGACCTCTAACAATACTTGAACGATTTGAAATTTTATATGAAAACATACAAATTTTATAGGTGTATCTATATTATATTTACTTTGTGGTTAGTACTTTTAGTTATTTTCGTGTTAAATATTCGATGATCAGTGTAAATAATAAAGTAGATGACGTTAAATAATAAGTTTAAAATGGACATTTAATAAAATCCAAGTTTTGGCAAAATAGTTTAATTAAACAACACATATTGAAAAATACATAAAAATAGTAAGAAAATTCTGTTTATATTTATAGTGTTCTTAATGTTTATGTATATTTAATATATAACAATATAGATCCAATGTTTAAATAAATATAATAAGAAAGTTTAATGTTTGTGTAATTATTCTTTCAGATATAAAGTATTGGATATGTGATTTTTTGTATTATGCCTAGTGGACGTCGTAATGCTAGTGGTCGGAGTGCTCCGACTAGTAAATCACAATTTAGTCTTGCTTCACCCACTGGAAGAAGTAATAGCGGAGATAGAATATTTGGAAGTGGAGGAGATGAAAAAAAACTAGATGATAATTATGGAAAGTTATTAGCACCAAAACATGTACCTATTCCAATAGTACCAGTAGACGGACCATTAACATTTGAAGCCTTATCATTAGTTGTGTCAATTGTTGCTGCATGTTTACAATTATTAAATCTGTATAGGACTGTCTGGTGGTTATCTCATTCATATAATTCATATAGTATGGTATGCTATTTTGATTAAATATTTTTAATTCTTTCATAATGCAATGAATATATTACTCAGAATATTATAGTGTATTAATATATAATCTTATTATAGTTACAATTATGCATACTTTGTTTCAGAATTTTTATCTTATAGATCCTTATCTTCTTACATTTATTATTACTATGGTAACACGAAGATTTGTTTATACATTGTTACGACGATTTGTTGATGTTTCATCTCCAACTCGTTGGTTCCACATTGCTCAAAAATTAATGAGGTATAATAGAGTAAATTAAATTAATTTAATTTTTGTAAGGTTGAATATATAATGAATACTTTATATTTTAGGATAACTTTGTTATCTATAGTTCTGAGCATATTACTTTGGTGTTTATATCATATGGCAGAAAGGCACAATATAATGAAAATTTTTTATTTATGTTATCCGTTAGTATTTTTTGTAACTTTATTTTTAGTAACTTATTATGGCATTTTGTGTGTGTATATAATACATTATATATTATTTTATATATATATATAATATATAATATATAATATATAATATATAATATATAATATATATTCTATATTATTTTATATATATATAATATATAATATACACACACATGTGTGCGCGCACATACACATAATTATTTATTTTCAGAAGTGTATTTGTATATTTTTTAATGTTTGGTGTCAGTATATCACCTTTCTTCGATATGTCAGCAGCACCTCGACATGTAAAAGAAGATAAAAGAATGAAATATTTGTTGGGTATGTTATTTGATACTTTAAATTTATAATTTTCTTGATAAGATAGTAAAATTTTAAAGCTTTTATACAGATACACCTTTACATAACTGTTCATTAAGCGCATCAGCAATCAGAGCTGAAGTTTCCACCTTTAGTACAGACTTTAATCGTCGGTTGAAAAGAGCATTATTTGCGTCAAGTAGTACCGCTTATGTCTGTGGTATCGCTCCTATCATATTTGTACCACAATCTCTACATTTCAATGTGCCATGGGTAGTACAATATGTTGTGCTGTTTTGGCTTGGAAGAATAAGTGCTCACTTCGCACAAGCTTATCCAGTAAGGTATATAAAATAATAATGAATTTTTTTTTAATAGACTTGTACTAATCTTTTGATGTTACGACTGATTATAAAATCTAGGTATTGCGATGTACTACATAGAGCAGCCCTACATTTAGGGCGTTGGATAAAAATTGAGAATCATAATAACCATACATATGCGCAAGTATGGAATGATGCGGTTCTATGGCCCCATGGATCGGTTGTAAAATATAATAAAGAAATATATCGCTCGGATGGTCTTTGTACTGCTGCGGAACCAGGAAATCGAAATCATTGTAGGTTTCATGTAAGTAGCAGTTGTTTTCATTGCTTTTTATTAAATTATTTAGAAAATATACAGAATTATTTCAAATATATTTGTAATTTACCTTTCACATAGACCTTATTTAGCAATCCTACAATACTTCTATGTTCTTTGTTGGGTCTTCAACTTCTACTCGTGGGGGCACAATTATTTATTTTAATACGCATAACAGAATGGTATCAAGTACTATCAATGACGTTGCTACTTGTAATCAATTATTACACCTTATTTAAAGTAACCAGAGATTACCTTGTTTGCTGGAAGGTGTATCGTGCTGAACAAATCATACAAGAAAAATGTCAGATGGTAATTAATTCTAATACTCAATAAACGAATGCGAAACTAATGTTTAATTTTTATTAACATTAAGAAAATTAAGAAAAGGAATTATTAATATTTGGAAAAAGAATTAAGAACTTGACGATTATAAATAAATTATTATTTATATAGTTTTATCGACAATAATTGTCATTAACAAAATATGTTGATGATAATTAACATTAATAATATATATATGTAAATATACAAAGGTGATCGAACTGGTTTAATGAATTTAAAAAATAACATTTTATCGGGATTCGATTTATTGATTTATTAATAAAATAAAACGTACAATACCTTTATACTTGAAACTTGAAATGGGAAATTTTTAATGCAAGAGTTAAGTGTCTCTTAAGACAAGGAATATTAGATTAGCTATCAACGGACGTTCTGATAGATCTTTCTAATTCACTAATCACTTAATCACTTATTTGCAGTACACTTAACGTATCGTTGATATTACTTACTTCGTATTTATTTTGAAAAACCATCAAGATTCGGCTTTTTAGTTTGTATCTTGTATCTTTATTTAGTTCTTCATAATACTTAATAAATAACTTTTATTATAAATATAAAAATATAAAGAATGTAAATAAATATGTTTTGTAAATTTTGAGTAATTATTCAATAAAGAAGTATTTTAATTAGTAATAGTAAACAAAAGATCAACAGGTATAAGAAAATAAAATACTGACTGTTATTGAAAGTGGATGTATTAACAAATGTTTGCTTTTTATTAATAATAATTAACATTTTCTTTTTCCTAATAAATAATTATTATTTCATAATAATAATGACCATCATTTTTCATAGAATCATATTTTTTTCATTTAATAAATAATGATATATTTGTATTACGATTATTAGTAAGTAATGGCGAAAAAAATTAATATATATACAAGGTGTTTAAGAAAAAGTATTTAATATTTATATAATACATATAACACATTATACTGAGTAAAAAAGTCTTAGTAAACACAGGTAGAAAAGTTAACCGTTTATGAGATATAAACATTTTTGTATGTTAGTATCATGATTGACTTATTACGAAGTTTTCCTTAGTATCTATACACCGTGTTCTAAATGTCCTCATTCAATTTCTAAAATTACAACGACAATTAGTCAGTTGTTAGTAACTTGATATCTTTGGACTTTTTGATGGAAAAGTTTCTTAATCGGAGAGTTCCCCTTCATGTGCTGTTTCAAAATATTTACCAAAGTCTACGAATCAGGCTCGTTTTAATTAAAGGTGGATTGGATGTCGTGGACCAGTTGTGTGACCCTTGATTTCCCAATTTTAATTCTTTGGGTTTCTTTTTATGGAGATATTTGAAAAACAAAACGTATTCTTCACCAATAAAGAACTTAGAAGAATTATGAAGTCGAATTTGCAATGTTTATGAAATTATCCAACAGAGATGTAAAATTTTCGAGAGAATTCACAATTCTTTGAGATGTTAAACGTGTATGGAAATGAAAGGACATGTAGAATAACTTTTGTAAATCAAAAACCCAGTAAGTCAATCATAATAATAACATATAAAAATGTTTAAATCTCAGGAAGGTTGACCTTTCGATTTATGTTTACTAAGACTTTTTCTCTATAGTATGTTCTATGCACTGTATAAATATTGAATGTTTTCTTTGAACATTTTGTATATGTATATATAATAACAATATTTAAAATTATATTTAAAAAATATAGCAATTGTAGGTGAAACGTTTCAAATTTTACAAGCTGAGTTCATCGAAATTAATGAATGTGACAACTTAAATATATTTTTACATCGAATAAGATGAAAGCACTAATATCTTTATTTATAATATATATTTTTAGATGTTATTTTCGTAAACTTTGTCTTTCCTCTCATTGACCTTCTCATTGAACAGTGTCTTATTGATATCATTGTAAGTCTGTCTGATATAAAAGAACATACTGATTACAGATTATATGGACAATTTTTGTTGATTTCGATCGATTATCGAAAATTAAGGATTGTCTAAAGAAATGTTTAGAAATGTTCAAGTTCCAGTGCTATATTCGTACGTTGTTACTTGTTGATAATGCTAGTCCTCATTATCATTGACAAAAATATTTATCTCACGGAAAAGATCAATATGAAAACAATAGAAGTTTATTAAGGTAAAATGTTGCTTTAAATTACATCATTATATTTCATTTTGTCGTTACAAAGATATTAAAATAGTAAATTAAGATGGAATGAACGTGAAGATAAGGATTAAATCGAAATAAGACTTTATTTCTTATGAAGTACCATAAGTCGTCATTTTATTTAACAGTAACAAAAGGTAATTAGAACATTGTTTATAATTGATCTTCGTTTATAATTGGTTTTCCTGAATCCAATCAAGGAAAGAATAGACTCTGGTGAAGACATCTGGGGATCCAACGGCGCATGGATATCCGTAAGATACAATACCAATTTGGACACCATTGGCTACAAGTGGACCACCGGAGTCACCCTGTACAGATAGATTAAATAAATGATTTTTATTTTTCATTATTTTCGAAAAAGAATAATGATGTGTGATGGAATCGAAAAGTCAATCTGAACGTTATATTTACATGGCAAGCTCCTTCACCCCGTTTGGTAAAAGTACAAATTTGGCTGTCGGTTAATCTCCAGTGTTTTAATTTGCAATTTTGTTGTTTTTCAATGGACAAAGTAATTTGTTGGAGGTTGTTAGGGATAGGTCCATTCAGCTATAATGGAGAAAAAAATTAGATCATTCCTTGATGAAATAGAAGTAAGAAATTATTATCTTATTGATTACTCACATATATTCTTCCCCAGCCGGTTAAAACAACTGGATCTCCAGCTTTAATAATATTACTGACTGGTAATTTTACTGGTTGCACTAATTGAGTGAATAAAATGTCTTTCGACACACGTATTAGACCAATATCATTGATAATTTTAAAAGAGTTGTAGTTCTTATTGACAATCAATTCCTCTGCATTGTAAACTGCTTCTTCTTTGTTCAAAAGTACGCTACCTGCATGGACAGTAACTTGCTGGTTCGATTTTCTGTAAAAATAAAAGTATTAATATTGTAAATTACTGTTGACACACAGTCGTCATTTATATTTCTTCTACAGATTTATGCTTTCATTACGCTATTAGATGATTCAAACAAATTGAATAAACGTACCCAACAAGACAGTGAGCCGCAGTGAGAACGTAACGTTTGCTTATGATGGAACCTCCACAGAAATGTTTGGGAGCTCTCAATGATACTTGGTATGGGTATTTACCCTGTGGTGCATCAGTACCACCGACGATACGGCCAGTTGGTACACCTTAGAGAATTATATAGAAAATTATATATAAATTACATTATAAATTAATGAGAATAATTGTTGCTTGACAAGAACGTTTTTCTCTATTTTAAAGGCATTTTGTAATTGTAAAAATTATGTAAAATGTAAAAAAGCAATAATATATATACTTATTTATTGTACTTACTGTAAGCGGCAGTTGCCAGAAAAAGAATTAACAAAGTAGTTAAAGCCTGCATGGTGATGCGGTTATTGATGATCGTCAGTGTTTTCTTCAGTATATATACACGTTTTTCAAGTAGCTATTGCTAAGAAACATAAATTTAATTAATCCATTCTGAAATCAGTTCAGATTTCTTGAGATTAATTATATCGACAAGTAGCTGTGTGACAATGGGTACAATGACGTTGGACTTGGAAAGTACGGAAGTTATCCCATCCTTGAGGGATTCCAGAGATAAAAAGTATTAAATATATCAATTGATCGACAAGTACTCATACATCAGATCGATAATTTTTATCACGTGAATAAAAATTAAGACAACAATGATATCAATCAAAAGTCTTGATTTACTTTCGCATGAAAGAGGATTTACGAATGAATTAATTAAATTCTATTTTCTAATTTATAATTTCTAATTTATAATTTATAATTTTATTTTATTGGAATAAAATAAATTCGTATTTATATCTTAATTCTATGATGTTTATTGTACATCACTTTTATTTTCAATCTAGGTAGCTGTCATTCTCTTGTAACACGATTTCGATTTTGAAATATTTTATTTTTAATATCGTCTAATAAAAGAATTATAAAAAAAATTGTGAATAAAAAATTTATATTTATTTCAGGCAATGCAACCTTAACGTACATTTGCATTTGACAATTTATATTGACCTTTTAATTGGATTTGTATTTCTGGTAAACAATACTCAAAAGCTTATACGTTACGATTTATATATGTTATTCATATTGATGTCTATCTTTCACAAAGATGGATTTATTCATTCCGTGAAAAATCAAGATATTGACTTAGATATGAACTCTTTAACGCAGCAAGATAAAATTAATTAAAATCATAGCTGCTATCATTATATCTTGTCATTGAGTGTAGGTGATTTTTAACAATAAGATTATTATTTAAGTTATTAGAATTATGATTAATGAATAAAAATTTTAAAAATATTTCATTATTTTTTATCATTATTTATTTAATATTTTTCATATATTATTTGTTATTAATGTAGTTTTTATTTAAAAGACAAGATCGTGCTTTTTCTTTACGATCAATGCCTATGAATGTTTTTTAAAAAGTTAAGATCGATTTATTTTTTATCGTTAAAAATTAAAAAAAAGAAAAACAATTAGAAATTTATACGATCGTACCTACAATTGATACTATGGTTTTTTATTTTTATCAAGATTTTATCTATAGATAATTGAGTTTTTATATCGGAATGACTTGTCGATATATAAATAAATTATTTTTTTTTTAGATAGTATGATATTTTTGTTTGATATTAATAAGATTTTTTATAAATATAAATATTGTACTTAGTATGTAAGATCAATCGATCGATATTCTTAATGGATCTCGTTGAAATTTATTAAATGAATACTTTTGATAACTTAGATCTCTATTTATCTGAACAAGTTTTTTATTTATTTCCTGTTTTTTTTTTTTTACTATTTGGTATTTTAATAATTAATTTTAATAAATTAATAGATATTAATATTATAGAAAATTAGTGAAAATAAGTGTATAAGTAAGTTCTCTTCTTATATAAGTATAGCAAAATGAAGTTTTCCTATCTTATTTTGTGCACTCGTTTCATCAAATTTAATTACACATAGGCTATTATATCAATATTTTAATTTCTTGAATATATATGATACGTAAAATTAAAAGTTACAGAAAGTTAAAGAAAACAACAAAATATAATTTGTTTGATTAATAATTTTTCCAATTTTGACGACTGAAATATGAAATACAAATTATTCTTCATTTTGTTGATCACTAGATGGCACAATGTTCGTTTTTCTCTCTTCATTATTTAAATTAAAAATATTTTTGGTCATACAAAAGAACAATGATCTTTATTTAAATTTAAGAAAATTTAATCTTTTAATGTATACAACGTATTAATAATAAGGAATTATGCATATTCTTTCGTTTATATTTTTATATCTTTCATTTATATAAATCTTATTTATATTAATTATTTATTGTGAAGACGAACAGGTAGTTTTTCCTTGATAAGAGTCTCCTTTATTTTCATTTTTTTCGACCTCCTTAAAGTGACTGACCTTGTTCTCGTATAACGTGCCTAGCAAAAACTTTGTTATGAATGAAACAAGTTGAGAGACGATGTTTGCAAATCATTAAGTCGACGGTAAAAGAGAGCACGAGCTAAGAGAAAGAAATATTGACTTTTTTCTATATCTTACAAGTGAAAAACAAACTAGGATATGTATGTATTATAAAGAATCATTTTGTTTGTCATTAGTACTCAGTTATCGATATTACCATGCGAAGTCATTAAAAGCTCATTAAAGTTATATTGCTATACTTCAAATGTATAATATAAATACTATGAAATATTAATTTCAATCTCTAAAGTATATCCTTCAAAGAGCGAACATTTGTAATTAATTATTTTACGTCTCATGCGTGGCAATTTTAATTAAATGTTTCCCGTTGACATATCATATGCGTACACAAGTATAAAATATATCGCCAATCGTTAGCCATTTTAGTGGGGAGGGGGAAGCAAAATATTCAACAAAAAAAGAAGTTCGAGATAAGAAATAATTTATTTCGTTGATTATTCCACAAATAAACGAGTTTAAATTATAGGAGCATCGCGTTTCGCTGACTATGTGAGGGATCAAGTTCCCTGAGGATCAAGAGAGGAAACAATCGCGAATAACAAGAACCCTTCGACTAGCGTAAGTCTTGATCCTGTTAACAGGATCATCCTACTCTCCGACGCATCGATGGAAGCTTTACTAACCGGTCGTGAGATAGAATCGGATGCGTTTGGATTATTCTCCGACGTGCCATGACATATTCCACTATATTCAAGCACATTCTACCGTATTCTTTCGTACCCATCTCGAATAAGAATTCATGTCGTACATTTCCATTGTTTGCTTACATGAATACGAGGCAAATATGGCAAACGATGAGGATTCTCTTAACAAAAAAAGAATACCTACATACATATATATATGTATCTATATCATTTTCAGCGTCGAATTTAAAACTTCTCATTTAATATATTGCAAAAGGTAAATATCTTGGAAATCATTGCGTTAAATCAAACGTAACGTACACGCTCGATTTATTTCAGCAACACGAACGATTTGTTATCGATAAGCGCGAATAGACATAGATAGTATATATATCTACGCAATTCGTTTAAAGCAGAAACTTTACGGTAACGTAATACGGATGAGAACACAGATAATAATTAGGTCATAACAATATCGTGAGCACGAAACGATGCGTGCGTTTCTAATTAAGTACGTGCTTTCGATAGACGCACGCGATCGCTTTGCTCGCTTTCATCGACGAAATTAAAACATTTTACTCGTGACTATGAATTACGTTGGTTTGCTATACGAATCCGTGAATGTAGTATCGTTAGATCAGTGAAACTTTTTGCTGGGAAAAATTCTCACAAACTTTCGCGATTAACTGTATTTTCTACGGATTTAAATCCGATTATGCACGGTCACCGTGTATTTACATATGCATATCATTTGTTCTATCACACTAGGGAATAGACTCTTCATCATCGGTACTATCCCACCAGACATATACTCTCTCTTTCTCTTTCTATCTTTCCTTTTGCTCTCTTTTTCTCTCTTTCCATCTCTTATTTTGCTCTTCTTTTCTCTCTCTCTTTCTGTTTTCACATACACAAATCGCATTATCTCGTGGCTAAAAATGAACCATGCTCGGAACGATTTGATATGCGCCAGGCATAACCGAATTAGAGTCTCGATACGACAGATGCTGATTCCAATGTAATAATAACAACGCTCGATCAAGTATGTCGATTTTTCTCGGATTTGAGAAATTGCCTTATGAAATTAGAGGTCGTAGGAAAGACACAAAAATTCGTTTCATGTATCGTGTGAAATCGTAAAAAAAAAAAACGTGTATATCGTGTAAATTTCAAACAGATCGAGAAAAAAAGAATATAGAATTTAAGCAGATAGAAGAAAGAATCGGGACGAAGAGAAGTCGCGAACGTGAATGTTATGATTTTTTGAAACGAAAAGAAAGAAATAGAGAGAGGGAGAGAGAGAGAGAGAGAGAGAGAGAGAGAGAGAGAGAGAGAGAAAGAGAGAGAGAGAGAAAGAGAAAGAGACGTAAAGTTTT